ATAACAACTTGTTAGCTTTAAATTTGTTTTATGAATTTATTTCAATCGTTCATTATCTATTTCTTTGTCTGTTGAAACCTTTCAGATTTCTTTTTTGTTTTGAAAGGGAAGTTACTCCTTACTTACCCCATATGGTAACTAACCCCATATTTTTTAGGACACCCTTTATCAAATATATGTAGTCACCACGTGTAGTCCTTTAACCAATCGTATCCCCAGAAATTTATAGGAGGTAAGATAAATATATATACATATATATAAGTACGTCTAAACAAGTGACAACTCTACAACAGATCCATCCATTGGATCACCAGTGAAGGTGAAACACGGTTGAAAACACATATTATATTCATAATTACTCTCAATATCAGCACAACAATGTTAAATCTGCAAATTTGCGGAAGCAAATTTTTGTTCTTCCCTCACTGGGATACGAACTCATGCTATTGAGATATCGAGACAATACCGCCTGCACTGTGTCCAGCGCTCTAGACCACTCGGCCACCTAGACTGAAATTAAAAATTCAGCTTTCGGTGGCCTAGTGTTACCTTTCCTCGTCAGTAGAATCTAGAGTTGTAACACAGTACATGAAATATTAGGCATGAAGATGGAATTGATTGCAGATTGGCTAAATTATCTATCTATCTAATTATTTGATAAAGACGTCTAAGCAAGTGGCAACTCTACGACAGATCCATCCATTGGATCATCAGTGAAGGTGATACACGGCTGAAAACACATATTATATAAGTGCTCTAAATATCAGCACAACAATGTTAAATCTACAAATTTGCGGAACCAAATTTTTGTTCCTCCCTCGCCGGGATTCGAACTCATGCTATTGAGATATCGAGACAACATCGCCTGCACTGTGTCCAGCGCTCACCTAGACTGAAATTAAAACTTCAGCTTTCGGTGGCCTAGTGTTACCTTTCCTCGTCAGCAGAATCTAGAGTTGTAACACAGTACATGATATATAAGGCATCAATTCCATCTTCATGTCTAATATATCATATCACAGTAAACTGTCGGCCGTCGGAAACTTTTTCCCAAAAACCTTTTCTTCTGAAACCACCAAATTAAATTAAAATAAACATATGATACCGATTTCAATAGAACTTTGGAATGGTAAATAAATTCGTCGTTTCGAAACTGAAAGACGTTTAATGATCTTATTTTATTTTATCATATGACTATGAATTTTCTGTTTTCTGGAATCCTCTATAATAAAACATTATATTCACCGCGGCAAAAATCACGAGAGGTTAATATAAGATTTGGAACAGCGTCCGTGTACCTTAATATAAATATTCCAAGGTAACGTCAATGACGTAGGTTTAGGACGTCATGTAAATTTCCGGTTTTTTTCTTTTTCTTCTTGTTTTCGCTGTATGTTTTTTCTTCTTCTTGTTTTCGGTGTTTTTGTTAGTAAACTTTATTGACTATTTCAATTTATGAAAATCAGAAACTGCAAAAGCAGATGAAATATTTAGTATAAAAACAGGGAGCAGTTTTAAAAGTATCTTGAGCAAATACTAAAAGATTGGAGAAGGAGAAAAAGTCATATAATAAAACAATTGTTGACTTTTAATCTCAGTTGAAACAATGATTTATCAACTCCAGAGATATGACATTCACCCTTGGCCGTTAGCCTCGGTGAATTTCATATCTCTGCGGTTGATAAATATAGATTATAACATGGCATTTTTCATATCAGACCCGTTATTAGCCCTAGGTCATGATTTTGATCATGGGCTGATAAAGGGTCTGATATGAAAAATGACATGTTATGTTCTTTTTATCATATACTTCAGCAGAAGACATACAGACAAAAACTATTTCTAAAACTTTGAAAAAATGCATTTGTTGTAATATTTGTTTTGCATTTTTTAATAATATATTTTCTTGATTCCTAATATTTTTTTCATCCAACTTTGTTATGTTTACACAAAATAAGTACCATTGAGGTGTATTTTCCGGAATTTGCCGAATGACGTCGAATTGTCATGCGATAACGTTACAGAAAAGCATGCGCTAATAACCGGAAGCAGTTGATATAAAACGGAAGCAGTTGATATAAACCGGAAGCAGTTGATAACAAAAGTCATATCACACGGCAAAAGCAATTCTTCAAATTTAATGAATACATATATGTACAAATTAGTTTTATCATGGGGTACAATTATACCCTTATTTTCTATAAGTATATGATAAATATAGATTCTACCACTGCATCGAGTGTGATACGATATTTATCCACTCGAGACAGTTAAATTTTCAAATTTAAAACGCGAGGCTCGCCGAACGTTTTAAATATTTAAAATTTAACTGTCGAGAGTGGATAAATATCGTATTACACGAGATTTGGTGGTGGAATCTGTTTCTCTAATGATTTTCAAACAATACGCAGGGAAATTTATTCCTTCTTTTCGAATGATCTGCAATTAAAAAGATGTGTTCTTTCTATGTGACGTCATCAGGCATGGTCGCCTTTTTTCATGCCGTCACAATAGGAAATTCAGAGGAAAGCAAGAAAATTCGACATCATAATCGGATTTTAACCAATGAAGAACTGAGATCAAACGAACCACACGTTGATTAAATTTTTTTTATACAATGGGTGCAGAAAGGGATAAATTGATGAAGAATTAGAGAAATCATTGTATCAACCTCATCAAAAGTCAATAATTGTATATATTATTGTTCGTCAACATAAAAATGAAAATAACGTTACGACAATGACCAATTGGTTATGTTCAGTCTGATTGACAGCTTTGTAAGATTGCAATTTTGGATACCAATCACAATTCTTAAAGAAGACTATAGAATTATCAAATAAATAATTTGGTTGCAATTGGTTCATTTAATGATTTTTTTTCGAAGCCTTCGGATAACCAATTTTATGCCTAATTTATCTGTTTATTGTAACGGTGATACTCATGTTTCAGGGCGGATTTGGTCATTGATAATAATTCTTGAAGAAGTTAACTAAAGTATTTTTTACCCAAATTTTAGTAGCATTTCGACCCTTATAGGATTTTTATAAGTTGTTTTAATATTTGTATTTACTTGTTTGTTTGCTCAATTTTCTATTTTGAGTAACGTTGGCGGTTGTATTTGAAAGAGCGGGCGTGCTAAAAACAGTGATTCATTTAGAATCACAAATGTAATTTAAGCCAAAAGTTAAATTCATTTGTTCCCCTTGGCACCTTTATTTTAGATTTTGTATCGCTTTGATCTCTTTTTTTTTAATAACAATTACACGGTTGGTATAGTGAACGCGTCGTCAAACAACACAAATAAAACAAATGTTTTAAACATTATGCAGGACAAATTTGGTGTCATTTGTCCGTACCGCTGAGTCGGTTCCCCTCCTTGTGGACTATCCGTCTACGAGAGTATTGTCCGTCAAATGGCAATGATTTGAAATGCTGACTTTCCGAACTTTGGTATCGCGCCTACATAAAGATTTATATTTCAGAGACGACATGAAATCAATACCATACATCATCGTGGTTATGCAACTTACACCAACTACTGTACTAAGGTAGAAAAGGGAGGGGTCTAAATTAAAATCCATAGATTTTTTTAATAATTTGCCAAAATGTAGTTTATATCATGACTTTCTCAAATATACAAAAAAATGGATGGGTAACGGGGCTTTATTCAAGCTACAGATTGTGCAAAATTGTCAAATGCCAGGAAAACACAATTTTGTGTGATAGAAAAAAACTAAACCATAGAATGTTATTATAAGATAACATACGAGAAGATAGCCTTTATGATGGGCTTTCAAAATATAAAAAGATAAAATAGGGTCATCTGACTCGTTTTCATGCCACAAAACAAAAAAAGGTAAATTCATAACACATTCCAGTATAAAAGTTACATTATCTGATTTATCTCCCCTTATATGGCAAAGTTGAAAGAATTGAATCAAACAAAAGACACTCTGTATTTGTAAAAACAGTCGCAAAGATATGGTAAAACACACAATTTTCTTCATTCAGATGAGAAGTTTGACAAATAAATAATATTCTTCCCTCAAAAGTTGCACATTTCATTAAAAATCTAGCCCGATGGTGTTCTGCTATTTCACAATCCAAGATGGCGAAAGACACCCGAGCTACCTTAACACAAGTGAAAATGATCAAAAGGAGAAGGTTCGATCAGATACAATGATTGCCACTAATTCTTTTCGTGACGTAACAAATAACGACATAGGAGAGGACTATCTAAGTTGTGATAACTTGTGTCTGATCCTTTTTGCTATATGTAATAACAAATAAAATATGTTTAAATGAAATGAACGACATAAATAACGCAAATTTAGATTATTCATGAAAATCAATAACAACAGTTCTATTAACATTGGTTTTTAGGACCGGAAAAACTAAGCGCAAAAAAAGCATTGACCATTGTGATTATTTTTTTTATGATAACACATTACCTACCTGCTGATTTTCGATAGTATCTTATGACTAAGACAAGTTTTATGACGGTCTAATGACATGTCATAGTCGTAAGATATATTTTCGAAAGTATCATAAGTTACGATACGTCATAACTTTTATCGTAAAATTAAGACACCTCGTGACATGACTTATGATGGTCTTATGATTATGACATTTCTTCCACTTTTCGTAGGTGATCAGTGTCATTTGCTGCATTTATCTTTGCACATGCAGCCTCCCATGCTCTTTTTTGTCACTGTTTGGTCAAATGTTGTTGTATTGCTCAGTTTACTAAACAGGAAAGACTTATTCTCCAATTCGTCAATTAATAAAATTTGAATCTCCGGCGACGTAAAATTTGGACTCCATTTCCTACTCATGAGTATGTATAATACATATATATATTATTTATTTCCTTATATAGTACTGTATTAACGTATTTGCAAGGGCATTTCGTTAAGCGGGTACTCGACGTACCAAATCTTAAACGTGTTCACAATCAAAATGAATACACTGAACACTCCATGTATAACAATAAATGAACGTGAAGTTCTAAAATTTATTATATATATATATATATACAAACAAAATTTAAACAATTCATCAACTCAGATTTTGATTCCTTTTCATATATAATGTCATGTTCTTCATAATGAAAAAAATTAATATTCGTGAATAATAAGAATGATAATAATACTTATAACTTTTATAGTTGATTTTAATATTTTCAATCATTATTCAAAATAAAAGAAAATATGTCCACTCATGACAGTCATAAGAGCAACATAGCTATTACTATCTTAGGACAGCTTTGATTTACATTCTATGATATATCATATGATAGCCATACTATGGTCGTAAAATTCGTTCTAAGATATATTTTATGAAATATCTTAGGATACTTTCGAAAACCAGGCCCCTGGCTTGGATGTTGAGTTTGTCGAGCCTTGAGCTCTCTGTGTGTTTTCTAGGGCTGAATGTTGTTGAACTCCAAACTATATTTGTCATCTTTTTTGTCATCTTTTTTCAAAATCTCTATTCTTGAATTTACTTTCTTCCTTTTTTCATTCATCAACTTGAAACAATGGACTTAATACTCAAGGTCAAATAGGGTCCTTATCGTACTTACTCTTTTCTAATACATTAATCAGAAATGATAATGATATAGTGATTAAATAGATGAATAAACATACAAACAAAACGAGAAATTATGGACAGCTATTAACTGTTTCGCAAAAGTTGCAAGCTCCTATAGTAGGATCAAAACATAAAGATTGTTTGCAAGCCTGAACATAGCCGACTTTCTCTACACAAGTCACATATCTGTTGCAGTCAGTAGGATGATGGTATCTATTGGTTCCATTATAATTCCTGTTGCAGAAATCATCTAAAATGGAAATTTAAACTACCGTTATTGTCGTTACGACAAAGGAGCTGCTGGTAATTTGAAATCGGGTATTTTTTTTTGTTTTTTTGTATCGTATTTTTCGACTTGTTTTAAGCACGGAGGTGGTAATATAAAAGTCTTTGTTTACTTCTGTATAATTTGCATTTAGACTTTATATCATTCGCGTCGGTCGTATCAGATCTGATTCCTATTTTCACTATAAAATTCAATAATGTGTGCCAGATACATCAAGTTTTCTTAAAGATCTATAAAGTTATCTATATATATCATATACTTAAAGATATAACTTCCTTACGATTGCAAATAGAGGTTTTAATGATTGGGCCTATATACAAATATGAAGAGGATTTGATATTAAAAAAATGAAGGCGCAATGAGCGACGAAATTTAAATGGGATATTTTCAAAAGTCTCCTTTATACAAATTAGGTCTACTTTTCAGACCTTTCTGATTATAAAACAAAAATGTGTCCATAGTACACAGATGCCCTATTCGCACTATCATTTTCTATGTTCAGAGGACCGTGAAATTGGGGTCAAAACTCTAATTTGGCATTAAAATTAGAAAGATCATGTCATAGGGAACATGTGTACTAAGTTTCAAATTGATTGGACTTCAACTTCAACAAAAACTACCTAGAACAAAAACTTTAACCTGAAGCGGGATAAATGGACGGACGAACGGACGAACGAACAGACGCACAGACCAGAAAACACAATGCCCCTACTACTATCGTAGGTGGGGCATAAACATGCGAATAGGTAAAAATTTTCAAATTTTCTTTTCTTTTTTCAAATATAAAAGTTATTGTGCAATAAATATAAAAAATAAGATGTGGTTTGATTGCCAATGAGACAACTCTCCACAAGAGACCAAATGACATAGAAATTAACATCTATAGGTCACCGTACGGCCTTCAACAATGAGCAAAGCCCATACCGCATAGTCAGCTATAAAAGGCCCCGACATGACAAATGTAAAACAATTCAAACGAGAAAACTAACGGCCTAATTTATGTACAAAATAATGAACGAAAAACAAATATGTAACACAGCAACAAACGACAGGCTCCTGACGGGACAGGCACATACAGAATGTGGCGGGGTTAAACATGTTAGCGGGAGCCCAAACCTCCCCCTAACCTGGGACAGTGGTGTAACGGTACAACATAAGAACAAACTATAAAAATCAGTTGAAAAAGGCTTAACTCATCAGATGGATACAAATAGAAATACATCTAACAAAAACGTTTCCGTGTCAACTGCTAACCTTCATAGAATATTTATACCCCAACTAATTTTCAAAAATAAAAGACCATTGTACTCCCTTTGGCTAGCAGAATACAGAAAATTGTTTAAAAGGAGGAATTAAAAAAAAATACTATTATGGCATACTTTGAAAGCTCAGAATAGCATAACTTAAGATTATTCATACTAAAAATCAACTGACATTTGGATTCTTAATCAAATTCTAAAGGAATAAATAAAAGTGTTTTAGAATGACAATACATGTAAATTTTATTGTTTATTGTCCCTTGAAACCAAAAATAGACATTTTGACATAAAGCGTATATTTGTACTCTATTGGCTTAAACCTTGCTACAGAAGGATTGCGATGTATGTAATAGCCAAAGTATTGAACGCTTTGTAATGTTTTCATGCGAACATATCAAATTATTATGTTTAGCAAGTTCTAATGTTATATTTTGTTATGAATTTAATATAAATTTGTCATAGCTGTTAGAAATTGATACCTTGTTTGCAAGTTTCTTAATCAAAGTTTTTGGTATGCAATACACATAAAAATGACATGTTGGTGCTTTAAAATAGCTAAATGTTCTACAATTTTGCCACAGCAAAAGGTTATATTAAATTTTTAAGCATAAAAATACAGGAACAAGAGATATAGTTTCAAATGCAATCAAATGTTGAGACAGAAATAGATTTTATATTTTGACCCGGCACTTTTCTTAAAAATCAGTTTCAGTGTCAACTGCTAACCTTCATTAAATTTTCATTACTCAACCAATTTTTAAAAATAGATCATTTTACTAGTTTCAGCCTACACAGAAAACGAATAAAAAGCAGAAATTTGAAGAAAACAAATTTACTATTTAGATATGTAACACAGTTGAGTTTCAAATCAGTCGACACATGGCCATTGAGTAAGGCACACGCTTGTGTTGAATTAAGAGTTGGTTGAAATAGCAGTTTGTTATTATATTTGTCAGTTCAGGACATGGATATTTCAAAGCTTATTATAACATAAAGCTTATTATAACATAAAGCTTATTATAACAACACTCGAGTAAGACATTCATACTTATTTATATAGTACATTAAGGTCTATTTTGCTGTCGATATGATATTTCTTACTCACGGTCCAAAATGTCCATGTAATTACTATATTATGCAAATGTATAGACACAGTAATAATTTTGGCGTTCAATATTTATTTTGCAGGGGTTTTTAGACCCGGTTTCGGGGTGTGTATAGCACGCAGTATGTACCGTCGATTGGTCGGAGATATATGGTGTCGGAGATACAAATTGTGTCATTGTTAAAATGGTAACAGGCAGCTTGATGTTTTCTGATATCAATTACAACAACAGTAGCCGGTGAAACTATCCGTTAGAAATGATCAAAAAGTCTGTAAAAATATGAAAAAGGAATCGAGCAGTCCGTGCAATATTATGCAGTTTAAAGTCATCCTGACTCATTGAAGTTATTATTGCAGTAAACTTATATAATCTAGTGTTCTTTTCATCAATTTAGAATCAACCAAAAATGTGTAAAAATAGTTATATCCGTCCGTTTTACGAATAAAGAAATCCAAAGGGAACAACCCAAATTTATATTCTACAGTACGTGGAACCTTACCGTCAGGTGTGCAGAGAAAATGATGGCGTAAAGACTGGTGAATCATTTAGTTTCATTTTTTTTATTTCATAACATTATATTTAGCTCCGTTTTGTGTGTGTTTTTTTAGTCACATTTGTGTTTATTCATTTCATTATTTCATTTATGCTGAATTCACTTTACTTTTGTTTTGTTTATTAAATTTATATTTAAATATAGTTTTTTGTATAACATTTGCCACTTAACAATCCAAAGAACTTACTTCGTTATAATGATGGAAGCGATGGAATTGTCACTGTGTCATTATTATATTTTGTTATCACTAACAATTACTTTGATTATTATTATTTGTATTGTATAGCATGGAAGCAAGTGGATTACCCGCTTGGGTTGCAGATTTACTAGAGAAAGGCGAGAAGGTGGAGACATGTTTAGAACTGTTAAGAAACATGTAATGCTATAGAAAGGGAAGAGAGAGCGGCAAAGAGAGAGATGAGAAAGGTAGAGATGGAAAGATAGGTACAATTAAAAGAGCTAGAGATTAGGGAGAAAGAACTGACGCGGCAAACTCATTGTAGTGGGTTGCTGTCTCAGATTAGACAATTTGAAAGTGTTCCGTCCATTGAAAATACGCATTTAGAAAATTTGATAAAGAAAAATTTAGTCCTAATTATTGAAATATATTCATTATGTTTCATTTATTTCTGTTGTTTATTCCGATGTCCAAGATATAATCTCACACAGTTTGGTGAGGATAAAACTAAATGATGTTAATACTTACGTGGAACAAGTGCGAGCGTTTCGTTCTTAGAATTGATAGGCGGGTCGGTTTGGTATTTGTCATTTGTTATCTTGCATTTAATGGTTGCGTTGTTCATTGCAGCTGTAAAGGCAATCCAAAACTTGAATTCCCGAGTTATGGTGCAATTTTCATGAGTGTCTGTTATGGATTTAAAACTAGGCTCGTACGTTTGAAAGTTATCGTCTCCATCAAGAAGTATTTCAACGCCAATTTTACCTCCCGGATTGCCGACACCACCAGTACACGAATGTAATTTGGTTGATCTAACGGTATTGAGGCCAGCAATCTGCTCAGGGTGAAGTTTGAAGTCCAAAGGTCCACTTGGTTTTGCTGTAATATTAATTAAACCTGATACTTATGTTGTCAATTAATTTAAACGAAAAAAAAAAACGTAACAATTTAAAAACGTAATATTTTCTTACGAAAATTTACTTCATTTATTAAGCAGCAAGTATATGAATCAATGTTTGTAACATTGATTGAAGTACACTACGATTGATTTTGTTAAGAAATGTCCTAGCATTCATTACAGTTTTCTGATACTTTTCAGACAAATGTTATTTTAAAAGGATAATTAAAAAAATAATCAATTTCTGTAAAAAGAAAACTAATAAATTTATCAACATTAAATGATTTTGAATCAGCTAAAGCTAATAGAACTACAGAAGTTGATAGTAGAAACGTTAGGATCTTTATGACTGAACAAAAAGTACTGTAACATGATAACCAAATTCATCTAAGGGTGAACTTTGCCTGAGGGATTTGGAACCTTAGTTACTTAATAATATCTTAGTCAATCAAAAGGGAATTCAAATAAGCATATTAAATTTAACTCATGTCATTACCGATGCAGGGACTACGGGACTGATGATACTCTCGATGACCTGCATCTACTCCGTTTCTAAATGGAGACTGGGCCAACTGAGATGAATACAATATAAAGCAAAAAACCAACCTAACTTGTAAATTAGGCATACATCTAAAAGGTAATGCGAAAATATAATGAAAACGAGAACATTGATAAATTGTTGGTTTCGAAAGTAACTTAATTAGTGTATCAAAACTGATATATATATAGAACTTTAAATAAAATGAAAACTTACCTGTTACTGATAATTCCCCCTCTTTTCTACCTGTCAAACCGTTACCACTGTCAACTGCAACCCCGTAAAAACCCTCATATGGACAAGATACATTCTGGATAGTTATAGTAACTGTTGAAGATATATATTGAACGACAATATGATCACTAAAATTTGTATATATGACTCTACCATCACCTTCAATCCGTGAAATTAGCGAGGGATCAACTCCAGATGATTTTGTAAATGTCACATTTATCATAGAAAACGAAGTTGTGTTAACTACACAAACAATATCTGTTGGTCCAGAATTCAGCAAAACGGACGAATCAGTACAGGAAACATCTTAAAACAAAAATATATTTTTATTTTAACTGAATAAATTTTTAACGATCTAGTAGGAAAAATAACACATTTCAATGAACTCATACACATAATATTTATTTGGAAAATACCAATTATAACCCATTGTGAGTACTAAGGCCAAGAAATAATCCTCAAATGGATAAATGTCGAAAAACTATGATATTCATTTTGTGTTGAGGTTTTATTTCAAACATTGATTTTACGTGCAAATATCCTACCATATACGAAAGACAAATAAAGGCAACATATACCAAAGGGATAATCAAACTCATAAGTCGAAAACGAACTAACAATCCCATGGCAAAAAAAAAGAAAAACAACCAAAAGGACAACAATCGTATACAAAACACAACATAGGAAACTAAAGACAGAGCAACACGAATCCCACCAAAAACCGGGAATGATCTCAGGTGCTCCGTAAGGGTTAGCAGATTCTGCTTCATATGACACACTCGTTGTGTTACTGTTGTAAAATATGTTGATACGTTATATCAATAAACTCATCAAAGATACCTGGTTTATAATTTCGTACGCCGGACGCTCGTTTTGTATACATAAGACTCTAAAGTTAAAAGGCCAAATAAAGCACGAAGTTGAAGAGCATTGTGGACCCAAAATTCCCGAAAGGTTTTTCCAAATACAACTTAGATAATCTATTCCTATATCCAGATATTATGCACCACGTAACAGCTAATTGTTAAATATTCAACAGCTTGCAGCTGATACTCATTTGTAAAACGTCATCGGTGTCTGAGCAAGCAATTAATGAGCCAGGGTTTTATCAAAGAACGCCTCGTTCTTTTTCTCAAAAAGTTCATCGGAAAGTACCAACACCTAATAGTTAATATTCAGTGTCTACTAAACAAATAATACAAAACGGTATTGAAAACAGATTCTAGGTACTGAAGTTGTGTATCTTTTCATTTACATTACAGTTTTCCCTTCATTTGTCTGTGTGCTATTGTGTTCTTTTTGGTCGTATAACTCTTGATGTGACTAAGTATTTGTGCATCCAGCTATTGAGACTCTAGTGGTTTTTACAGTGTTTATTTCATTTTGTTTACACTTGTATCTACATTTTATTTAATTTGTACTTTATCGGGAAACTATGTTTTAATATACTGTATGTACTATCAATTAAACAAATATTTCTTGTTGGCGTCTTTGCCATATTTACTATAAACTACAATAACTTTCTTGGTGGCGTCTTTGTCAGATTTATTTGTATGTTTGTTTGAATTTTAAGTCAGTTGTGTTGTATGGCTGTGATGAATGTTTACACAGTTTTGACTTCTGGATCCATATTATTGTCACATTAACGCATTATGTCTGTTTGGGTTGCTCAGCTGCTGTTGTCAATATAACGTAGCTAAAAATAACTTATCCATTCGTTCCGTTGGTTGATATGCTTCAACGCTGATGTTTTCAGGTTAATTTTTTTTGCGTTTTTTTAAGAAAAAATTTGCTCATGCCTTTCAGAAGTTGATATTGTTTTGTAAAATTAGATTATGTTAATAAAACAATCAAATTTTAATGCATTTTGTTATATAAAGGATAGTCTTAAACATAATTACTAATTATTTTCGTTCCTACTAGAAAAATATAACTGTTTAAGCAAAATAGAAAAGAAACAACATCTAAAATAGACTTCACACAACATAAAATTATATTTTACAGCTAACAAATGAGACTTTCAGAAAAAAAATCTCTTAAAACAAAATTATATTTATAATAATCAAAATAACACTTTATAATTTTCTTGCGTCTAAAACGCTTTTTTTTAACTGAAACAAGAACATCAAAACATAAATATTTTAAAGCCAGGGATATATAAATGTGTATAAATGTTAGGAGCTATATGAGCATTACAAAAGTGGGATAATTCTTTGTAATGTTAATACATTTTGTGAATTCGGACATGATAAAGATAAATTCCATTTCAAAACAATATTCTTACCAATAGATGGTACAGGTACAGTGGTTTCGGGTTTAGCTGTCGTAGTTATATCTACAAGAAATGTCAATTGTATAAATTATGTTTGCCTAGCATTTTTTCATCTATATTATTATACTTTCAAACGCTTACAAAAGAACAAAGTTGTAAACCTAAAATTATCAAAAAGTAAAAATTGCATAATGAATTTTTGGATGAGAATAAGAAAAATATATTATTTAAGTTATAGGTTGTTGCATATCTTAAAGAGACGTAGACTGTACCTTTTTTGGTCAGGATTTTTTTTTTTTTTTTTGCATTGGACAGGCTGATATCAAAAGACAAACTGAAGATATCTCATATCAGTATACTTACTTAGCAGTATATTAATAAAAGAAATGATAATGAATTTCAAGTAAACATATCAATTTGACCATGGATTTGAAAATGATAAATTAAAAGTTGTGTTAATCATACCTGCACAGATCTAATTTTCTTTCTATTAAATGTTCCAATGCATTTTCATATTTCAGCGGATTTTATCATTTAACTAAAATTACTACTCCTTCAGGGAAAGTTTACTGTGGTCGGGTTTTTGTTGTTCTTTTTAAGCCCTTTTATGTCCCTGAATTTTAATTATTCGGATTTGCAACTTTTTTTGTCAAAAGCGTACCTAATCATGCTAATGATGATTTATCCAGACGCTAATATTGTAACCACTGAGATCATGTTACGTTATATCACTACTAGTCAATACAGCTGCTTGTAATTTTCATTTCCAAAAGGTACTATCAACCAAGAAGCTGGTGTGTCATTATTGACTTGATTTGAATGGTACATTTTCTGGTTAAATTTTCAGTCAATAAAATTAGACATTAATTCAAAACTAAGGTTGTGACTTCTTTTGGAAAAATTGACAAAAAAATAGTATCAGCTGTTAATGTTATTTTAATTTTTTGCTTTCAAAAACATCATAGTTTCTCCAGGAACACATATTTTGCACACGGAAATCATATCATATATATTTTTTAACATTGGATGCTTTTTAATAATAATCATTCCCCAAAAGTGCTATCCACCAAGTTACAAGTGGTATTTACAACGTTTAAATAATACCTGTTTGTTGGTAAATAAAGTTCATATGATTGTGTAATAGCTATTTAGGTAAGGTTTCAAATCACACAGGCAAAGTTTACCATAGACGGTTCGAGCTGTTTTGGCCTTTTATTGCTTTTTGCTCCCGTACATTTGATAATTTTGGATTTCCAAATGATTGGCCATGAGTGTGCCTGTTGAAGGTTCATTCAAGCATAAATTTTGAGCGCAAAGAAATCATATCATACGTTTAATGAATGATTTGTTTCTGTATATCAAAGAAATGCTTGGCTAGGGCATACATTTGTTATGTTCATGTTTATGAAAGACGAATCGATTTTGAAGTGTTTTTAACGACAATGATATTTAATACTCAAACTTTAGAAGAAAAAAAATGTTATTATGATATGTTTATTCCATACTGGGGTAATTTTGTAAAAGCCCTTTACACTGCAACATGTTTATCATAAATCTGCACGTGAAGACATTGATTTGTTCAAACAAGTTCGCCAAGATAGAAACTCACACAGATATATAAATGAATGCTACATTTGCACGGCCTGCTAGATATGAATTGCACGCAACTGTAAAAGTACAACAAAAAATAGGACAGAATCGTTAAAGATTTTACTTATATTTGATTTTGACAAAATTCTTTTTTTCTTCAGTTGTTCAACCGTTTTATTAGAATATTAAACACATCGTTTCCAGAGGTTATTGTTGTGACCTCAAAAACTTAATAAAAGTAAATAAAGAAATAAACTTTAAAAAATGTTGTTTAATCCTTATTTATCTCAACCTTATGGAACCCAGGATTCCTTTCGTGTGTATCGCGCATGAACGTATAAAAAGAAATCAAAATTGATTACATAGGTATGAACTTTGTTTATATAATAGAACAGAAATTTTATAGAAAGGAAGGATATGTAAATTAATTATGGCACAAAATCATTACACGCACATGAAAAACGTAAATAAAAGGAAAAGCGATTTTACTGCTTTTCTTCATCTAACCCTCATAGTGAGGACTTCAGCATCAAGTAGAACTCTCATCTTACCACTTTGTTAACGGCCCCAAGTTGTATACTAATGTAAAAGAGAGGCAAGCTTTACTAAAGGGATATTCAAACTCATTTGTCAAAAACAAACAAGACGGAAACTCAACCAGTAAAATATAGGTATGCTGTTTGTGTACGGCCTATTAAATATAAAAAGCACGCTATTGTACAAGTACAACAAAAAATATGACAGAATCGTTAAAGATTTTACTAATATTTGATTTTGATAAACCCCTTTTTTCTTCTGTTGACAAACAAAATAAAATGAATTCAGATTGAACTGTATGCACTTCAATAGAAATGAAACAGACCTGTTATCTGTAAAATAGTCTCCTGCTATACCTTTGCGTGCATCGTTGATGGCGTCAGCTTCGTTCACTGAGTTATCTAAGTTGTTTATTTACAGTGATGGTAAGCCTGTCAACACCGAGATTGAAAGTTCTAACGCTACAAATGAAGAGGTTCGTATGACTTCGCTCTTTATTGACAAGGATTGATAATGTTTAAATGTCGGTGGTTCTCGCTCCACCAATAAATACGGATAGCGTGGAAGTGGTATAAACTTCAAAAGGAAAAACATTTTTAACGTATTTTGAAACAAAAACTAGTTAATACAATAATTTACATTGTGTCCCATTGCCGATATATTATACTAACCTGATGGACAAACTGCATTAAAACAGTGGTCACATCCTTCCGTTTGGGTAATTCCGAAACAGAGACTGGTTTGACATTTTTTACCATATTCAATATCGCCTAGGCATTGGATGTAATAATTACAGTTTGTTGGATGAGGATTGTAGCTAGCATTATGGCCTTCGCAAAAATCACCTACAACATGACTATTGTTTTATTCACCCTGCTTTTACTAATAGATATATATTACAAGACAGCTATTAGACACATGATAATCAATCTCAAATTTCCCTACATTATCATGCAGTGCATTTTTATAAACGAGGTAAAATATTAAGCAGCTGACTATTCTAAACAAAAATGAACATGGAATTTAGCATAAGTATACTGCAACCGTTCAGTGAAACTCCAAGACAATGGAATTTGAATATCTGCATATCATGAAAGTTTGCTCTAAAAATTATTATATTGTAAACAAATGGTAATTACCAGAAAGAAGATACACATTTAATATTTCATGGATACACTAGAAAAAATTTCGCCATTGGTTACTCTAAATACACTCACTATTGCATTGTGAGCTGTCAAATATAAAAGGAACACGATATTCAATTGCTGTCAATGATAGTTAGATGCATTTTATTTTGTACAGCTATACAATTTGTCTATTTACACACATATTGTCTTTTGTATATCATACAGGTTTAATTTGCGCTTTTTATCTTAATATTTTAGTTTCAATGAAAAAAAGTGTTGAAATATGAGCTACTGCTCATTAATTATATTCTGGTTATAAGTATTCGGTAAATTGGAAGTTGATTGCATGGTGGGAAAACACATGACAGAGTAAATAGGGCTCACACAAAACTTGCTACCAAATGTCAGTACTCTGTGATTCATAGTTTTGGAGAAAAATCGGTCGTAAATTTCATACATGAACATATGTGAAAGAGTATATGAGTATTCGGTAAAAGCTAGGAAGTTGATGAGTACTGAACGTGAAAATGCATTACACATGATGGCATGCTAACTTGACGCTTGATACCAAATTTCCCGAAATAGTTCCTGAGAAAAATGTGTAGACATTTCATGGGACAGACAGATGGATGGGAACCCAGACGGACTGAAGGACGGACGGACAGGGGTATACCAGTGCACTCCCCTCCTTTCGGAACGAGTGTATAATTAGAAAAAATCATGCAATTCTACTTGTGTAAATACGTCATGATGAAACGATGAAATTGAAAGACTACAGCCTGTATAAAAAAAATTTAAATTGTTATTTGTTCGGTTATCATGAATATTAATATGCAATATTTTATTATAGATGATACAGAATATGTTTAACTTGGCCATGCCCAGTATTTAAAAGTCAAGCATATTCGGGACAACAACAAATTGAAAATGAGTAAATCGGGATGAAGGACGGGTATCTAGAATACCACTGGGGAAAATGCTTTGTAAATGCTTAAACATTATGTTTTGCAAAAGGTTACAAGAACTCTTCACACATATTGACCATTTTATTTTAGTCAAAACCCGATAAATCGATAAAATAGTAAATAAGATTAGAATTTTACCAGAAGCAAGAATTTTTACCAGTGATACCTCAACATAATTTGATAGATTTTCGAAAGCTAGCAAAAATATTCGGAGATCCTGGCTTCAAATTTAGAGCGAAAGGCGGGCACGTTGTGTATACACAAGAGTTATCAGTGCTGCTAGATTCAAAACTTGTAGAAGGTATAATCAATTTTAAGATGAAGAGCAACATGAACCAAAATCTCTAAAAACGTTGTTCCATATCTAGCTAATGCCATCAATGCCTTAGAATGGAAATGTGTTGCTGGGTTGGATTATTTATTTCCTTATTTCGCGGAGCATAGCCCTTTGATGAGGTATTTTCAATTTTGTACGCAATCAACTCCTGCATGTGTTGGGTTGCGAACATACGGTCGTTTCCTAAGTGTTTTGTGCGATTTGAACATTTTATAAACGGTAAATGTATATAAACAAACTTATCAATTATATTTCATTTCAGCAGAAGAGTGCTTACTATAGCTGTTGCACTGGCCATACCATCCGGAAGAAAACCTCCACCAGCAGTAGCATCGATCCAGTACTGGTTGTACAAAAAATTTTATTTAGATATGTGTCAATTTAGAGCTCTGCATTCCGTTAGACACCTGCCTATTGTTGAAGACAAAATGTTCAAATGTAGAAGTTGTTTGATTTTACCCATATTTCCTTTTTTCACATATTTACTTATGGTCGTTTTACATGTGTTATAATAACGCTTTAAAATTTTAAAACCGTACTCGCAACAGCTTCAGTAAATCTAATTTTCAAGAGTGACAGAAAATTATGTAGGTTTTATAATGTGGTATAACTACTAGCATAAGATAAGTTTTTTTTAAATATTTATCTTTATTATTTCTTTTTTATGTTTGACCAAATGTTAACTTACTTGGAATTAGGGAAACGGTGTCATTGTTAGAGTAAATAACTGGGTTTTCAGGATACAAAGTAGATTTTACACTGCATCGAATTGTAGCTTTGTCCATATTAGCGGTGAAGTCTATTCCAAACTCTACTTTCTTTGTTAAAGAACACGAGCCAATGTTATCATTACTGGTTACGATATCGACATTTAAAACTGTAAATTCAGCTTCTCCTTGATTAAGAATTTCAATTTGTATTTCCCCAGGCGGATAACCAACATCAGCCTCACAATAATGGAGAAGCCATCTTCTATATGCCAAATCAGCGTTTTGATCTGGATGTAGTGTAAGAACTGCGTCGTTAGGTATGCCTTAAAAATAAATATGCAGACAGCAATCAACAATCGACGACCACTGAATTACATGCGCTTCTTACTGCGGACAGGCATATATGTATGTAGAATGTGGTGGGACACAACTCTCCTGTGAGCGTCCAACACTTCCCCGAACTTTGGATTGCGGTTAAACAGCACAATATTAGAAACAACTGCAAATATCAGTTGAAAAAGGCTCCACTCACCATAACTGCGAGGTGACATAAAAAAACTTACATAAAGACAAAAGACAAGTACCGATCTAAGAGTAATCGCAGTTTCTGAAAGCTTGTTCAAAACCTTTAACAACAAATAAATGAATCACGTTTACCCAGACTACAGTACCAATCAGTACACATCAAACGGATTTAGTTTGAAAACGTCATAAACAGTCCGAGGAAAACAAGACCTTGCGCAATGCCAAAATATAAGAACAATGTATCGACAGGATGCAGGTCTATAACTGTAATTCATAGAAAATTATGTTGTGATTTCTCAATGCAAAATCAATGTAAGTACCGATTAAAATAACACTCATAGACCCGTTAACGGAGTTAAACCGACACCACCAACAATAAGTACCCAAAGGACTAATGAGTCCATGCAGAACGTACAAAAACTACATGACCTATAAACAACACCGCCGTCAAAATCAGGATGTGACGACCTGTTTTTAACAGGAACTCCACAGCCAAACCTTAAAACCAAACATCCTTATCTATAGGAGAATTCAGCTAATGTTTCAAGCAACCTATAGCAAAGTAACCCACGCCTTAACAACCAACCAGTCACACATATACTACGTTCACCGAAACCAAAAACACCACTACAGTCGACACAAGCATAGAGATAGAATCGGAAAACTCATACACCGCAAGAACGGGCAACAGGAACATCATCTACCAAAAAAGGAAAACCAACAACGGGAAACGAAAAACCTTCTTACTTGTCGCATTGAATATGTATATAACCTCCTTTTAGTTTTAGCTAATACCTTAAATGACACTTCACAAGAGTAGAGGACGAAAGAGGTGATTTGATTATTATAAGATACATGTATTAACAAAAACGGCGAAAAACTTAGTTCAACTTAGCCACCCCTGTGCATTTAAAAAAAAACGTTTCCGCTCTCAAACTCTTGAACCTCTTGTAGTTCAAGGATGATACTATGCATACTATTTGATCATTAGATATTACTAGAGTCGGTGTCAAGTTCAAAGAATAAAAACCTGCACTGAAAGTCTAACACGTCCGTGTGTCTATGCGTCATCCGTCACAAATCGTATCTGTTCTCTTACTTTAAAATCTTATGAGTTCAGTGATGAAACTTAGAATAATTATTTACCACTACAAGAGGATGTCTGTCGCGTACATGGAAGTAAACTGTACACTAGATTATGTCACGGCCATAAACTTAGTTCAACTTAGCCAACCCTGTGCATATTAAAAAAAAAACATTTCCGCTCTCTAACTTTTGAACCTCTTGTAGTTCAAGGATGGGATTATATATAATATTGGAACATTACTAGATATTACTAGAAACGGTGTCAAGTTCAAAAAATAAAAACCTACATTGAAAGTCAATGTCAAAAAACTACTTTAACAACTTTAAACGCCCTTTGAGATTCAGGGACGAGACTTGAAATGATTATTCACCACTATACTACTATAAAGTGTCTCGTCTACATAGAAGATAAAAATGCTCCACGGGGCGCAGCTTGATACAACCACAGAGGTAGAACCTGAACAGTTTAGGCAAGTATGGACACTACATTCAAGCTTGATACAGCTCTATCTGAATTTTAATTGTGATTAAATATTTGTCACAGCATAGGTTTCTAACACAGAATGAATGTGGTCAAAGAACTGAAAAAAAAATTGCACTTTTACCTTTTATGGTCCAATATCCCGCATATAAATACACGGATAGATTCAGCATATACAAGTACACCAAGAATTTAATCTATTGATTTATTAATGGACAATATAAGCTAAGTTTTTTAATATATCTAAGATAATTAACATTATATCTAAGTTGAAAGGATAATAGATTTATATTATAATGAACTTAAGATTTTTTTAATTTTTTTGCAAAATAGTATAATAATATGGGATAAAATTGTGGCATGAAATTAGGCATGAATTGGTAATTGTGGTTTATGGGATTGTAATTCTAAGTTGTTGGAAAGTAATTTTTATTAGATTTGTGAATTTATGGTTAGAATTGTTCTGATATCAAAAGGTGGCATTAATGTTGTGTGTTTTGGAGTGGATTATCATTAAATTGTGGTTTGAGTTATTCCCTTTCAACAGAAAGTCAATATGGAGGAAAATTGTTTTTATGTATATGTGGGAAATGTTAAGATTATTATTGTAGTGGATTAATATATTTGAATGAGAATGCTGATAATTTGATAATTTTTTTAAGCATCTTTTTACCTTTTTATCGTTTAATAGACAATTGATGTGATGTTATGGAGGAGGTAATTTTTCAGATGTCTATTTTAATTTCCAATGGAATTTTCAACCATAGGAAATCATTTAAATACATGTTAACAATCTTGAAATAGAGCAATGCATGAACAATGATCACTAAAATCAATATATCTGAATTAGGAAAATCCTTAGTAACATTTAAATATAAAATGACTTTAAGCTACTCATTTGCATATCACCTCAAAGATAAGACATACATTATAAGCTAACACATTGTTAGGGAGGTAAATCTTAATGTAAAAAAACAAAAACACCAAATAGATGAAATTGATCAAACATAAGCAATTCAGCATAGCAAACACCCCTAAAATTCACTTTTTGTTTTGTTTAATTTTGGACCTTTAGGACCTTGAATTTGAAAAATAGGCCCAAAATCTAAATACATAATTAGATTCAGCATATTGAAATCAATCAGAGTTTATTTTACACCCTAATTTGGACCCACTTAAAAACACGGCCCAAAATTTACACATACGGTATGATTAAGCATATGAAAGAACCCTAATATTTCAAGTTTATTTAAACCCCATTGAAATTGGTCAGAAATAAGCAATTCAATCAAAGTTTAAAAAATTGTTTGTTTTTTACTCTTTTTTTTTTGCTCCTAATATCTAAGCGGATACGGGCATAGTCCCCAAATTCAATCTAACCTTCCTTTTGTGGTATGGAACCTTGTGGTACAATTTTACACAAATCCATAACTTACACTGAAGTTATTGTCCGGACACAAAACAATGTTTGCTTTTGGCCCCTTTTTCTCGGTCGTATAACAACCGTACGTTGATGATCATGGTCTTAACAATAGTAGAACTTGAAATAACCCAAATTGCATCATAATTTATTGATTAATATGTCCCGGTGCCCTCTGTGATAGCTTCCATTACTTTCTTCCATTTGTTTGTCAGAAACAGGTTTTATTTATGTATAGCGCGGACAATGAGGTAGTCCAATTTGAGTTCATTCTGAATTCCATATCTAAAATTTTCATGTATACAAACACTGATCAACTATTATATTTGAGTTACTTTTATCTTCCATGTAAACTTCACAGAATAAAACTTTATATTGATATATGCACCATAATATATTTAACAGATATATTACACCACTAGTCAGACTTATATTACATACTTCCTACAATAAGCTTCCCTTCTGCTTGTCCTTCGGCTTTCCCGTGTATATCTACTGCCACCAGACCATAGAAATCACCACTTGAACATGAAGCATTAAGTATTGAAATAGTAACAAGCTGACCTACATGGCTAACGGTTACACCATCATCTTGGATCAAATCATTAATATTTCCATTACTCTGAATCTGCGAAATAACAGTAGGAATGGCTTGTCTTGGTGACCTGAACGTTACATTTAAAACGTTAAAATCGGTAGTGTTTAATTTGCATACCATATCAACGGGTCCGGAGTTCCATGTGACTGTTGAACTATTACAGAACACATCTAAACAAAATAAAAATGAAATTTAAAGATTGGATATGTTTAAGATTGGAATAGAAGATCAACTACACATTATCAAATAAAATAAAGTTGATCGTGCAAATATTTGTTAAATCTATTCTTCCATGGAGCTTACAAAATAATATAAACTAATGTTAGTATTGAACCTTACATATAATTTTGATACACAATTTGAATAAAATAAATTATGAAAGAATTCAGTATTTCTTACATTTAAAGATAAAATATTCAAGATAAAACATATCATACTCCAATACTTTGAAAATACCAGTTCATCATGTCACATATTAAATTATTATACTTCACGTTAAAATGCCATATTTTGATTGGCTAATACGAGGGTGTTAATTTACTCTATTACCCTTCATGGAGACGCTTGTTCAAGTGTGCGATTTATTAAATACGACTCTATCCTATGGCAAATACTCTATTACCCTTCACGGAGACGCTTGATCAAGTGTGCGCTTGATTAAATGGTTAATTAGATGGCGTCTAGACTAACATACACACGAAATGCTGACATATATTATCGAGTCCATGCATTGTTAATTGTTTATTTCAGACTTTTAATTTGGATATACTTTTTAGTATGTTATATATCAAATATGAGAATGCGAGTCAAATCGATGAACATGAACTTGACAGCTAATCCCCTTTAACATATAACTTGGAATTACTTATATCGATTACTAAAATTCTGATTACATACAATTTTCATGAATAACTAGTATTTACTGGTCTTTACTAAGAATTACTACTTATGATCAATAATTTTGACAAATTAAATTATTTAACTTTCGTAGTTAAATGACTTGTTTTTGGTAAATCAAAGAAATATATTTTTAGAGTGCAATTATAAATTCAGTCGAATTGCCTTCCTTTGACCAAACAAAAACCAAACATCAGTACGTCATGTAGTATTTGTTAAGTAGCCTGTTAGGAATTTACAACCTGTTATGTAGAATAATCAAAAACGAAATGAGAGTTGTCAATTTCTCTTGGACTTGTGAGTTTTTATGTCATTTTGATATGTTCCGCCTCTAATTTTTAAAAAAGCAACGAAAACGGCATAAGTTTATTTCTTACCAATTAAAGACATAGGTTCTGGTGTAGTAGTTTCTTCTGTTTAAACAAAATAAACAATAAAATCAAATACATTTCATGGACTATTCTTCAAAATAATTGCGTTATAACTTTATATAAGGACAACAAGTGCAACATCTATATTACATGTGAAATTTAATGTCAGACTATTGAATTATTTAGATTGTTCATGATTTCATGTCATCAAAATAAATTCAAAAAGTTACTCAAACTATACAGAAAAAATACTTAAACAAATTATACTTTTTCTCCTTTTTAGATGCACTTAAGCACATATACATTTGCAGAATGTTGGATGCTTTTTGAATGTCATAGTCAATTATTAGATCAATACGACTTAAAGGTTCACGTTTCACTGCTGCATATGTTTTATTGTTGGTTTTCAACGCGAGGTTAGGCGGTCTCAGCTTTATCGTGTTCGGAAGTGTTTTAACATGGCAAAAACAATAGTTACGATGCGAACCACCGACTACACCATGTACAGGAAAATGCAATTCATGTCATCTGACGCAAGCAGAATTCGAACTGACCCCCTAAGAGCTGACAGGTATTGACTACTAAGACAATCGAGGCCACTTACCTCTGCATGTCAGGTCAACATTTTAAATCATTGTGTATATGCAAAGCATGCAAATTCGATCATCTTAAAAGCTGCTAGAAATAAGGAAAATGTGTTGTTGCCCTTAAATGACGATTTTAATCAATAGTTTGCATGTTTGCCTAATATCTGACAAACTGTTATAGATAGATCGAAATTTAAATAGGCAAAAATTATCAATATGAAAAGATCCACAAATGTGTCAACATAGTCGATATCTTAAGAAGAATCCTTACAGATTTATTGCTCTCTAAAGACGATTATTTATCATTTTGTTTGCGTGTTTGTCTGAATGATATCGTAAATACTGTAATAGACAGAGAGAAATTTCAAATCTTCTGTTCTCTCCTTATTGGAATTATTGATAATTGATGACGTTTATTATCTATTTTTATTGTTTTGCCTCTCATCTTAAAAACTATAATATATAATAAATAGATAAGATCGCATGACAAGATCCGTAATTCAGGCAAAATCGTTAGTAGTATAGACTCTCTTTAGGAGTGATTGCTTTTAAATGAATATTTTTTACACTTTCTATGTTTCGGGCAAGAACTAAAGAAGATAGAGAGAAATTGTAAACCGAAAACATTATCAGCAATACGAGATCAACTAAAAAGAGATTTTTGTCATGAATTTAATTCTGGTCCCCAATGTTGGATAGTGTCTATTGTTGGCGATGCACGTAGAACTAGGTGAGCGAAACAGGCGATTTCGAACCTCTTGTTATATCTATTAAAATATATTTGTCGCAGCAAAATTTTAATCTGATAAATAAATAAAGAATTAATCTTACCAATTGAAGATGCGAAAGTACTGCTTTCAGGTACTGGTGTTGTAGTTATATCTTTAAGAAAAAAATATCATATTGTTAAAAGCAGATTCGTTACTATCGCATCATATTATATTTAATATTCATTAAGTAGTAGGGAAAAGCTTATATTTTCCTGAGAAATGAAACCCGGTTTCTTAAGTTGTCTTTAGTTTACACGATACATACATTTACTAAATTTCATGTCCAACGACTACAAACTCAGACGGGGGTTCGCATAAAGATAGACTAAATATAAGCACGAATCTTCAAAAAGATATTTTTCTCAACAATTATTTTCTGAAGATAAGCATGTGGTATTTTGCGTCGTTTGTTTTTAGAAACAATTCCAGTTTCCCTTCTCACTTATGATTTTATATCTTGAGATTAGTTTAACTTACCTGCTGGACATATAGCTTGATCACAGAAGTTACATCCATTTGTTTCAGTTACTCCAAAACACAGACTTGATGGACATGGTTGGCCATATGTTACGTCTCCTTCACATTGAATAAAACTATGACAATTTGTTTGATGTGGATGATAACTTTGTGAGTCAGTATTGTTCTTGCAAAAGTCAACTGCAAGTATTATTATACAGATATAATTTCAATGATGTACTGTCTCCCTAATTAAAAAACTTGAATAACAAAAATAACGAACTTCAATATAAATTTTCAAATAGAGTTAAAAAAAATCATAAAAACTGACAAAACCAAACGCTCGATTATATCAACCAACGGAACGACTGGAAAACAATTGACATATTTTGAACTTGGTATAGGCATTTTCCGACGAAAATTGTGGGTTAAACCTGGTTTTACAGCTAGCTCCCACTTGTATGGCATTTGTATATATAGTTCCGTTTTATTGACAAAATTTTTGGAATAACCCATACAGACATAAACTGGTAGAGAGTTGTTTCATTGGGAATCATAGACATATTCTAGTTTTTATATAAATTTTTAAAAGTGACATTAGTTAGGATCCAACACCCAAAAGTGTGTAAACAAACATCATATATATTCAACATGACTATATCAAATACAAACAAACATACAATTCAATTTAACAAAGACGCCAATAAAAAATAGTTTTGCGTATTTGATAGTATAAATAAACTCATCATAGATACCAGGATTAAATTTAATATTTGCGCCAGACGCGCTTTTTCGTCTACAAAAGACTCATCAGTGATGCTCGAATCAAAAAAAGTAAAAAAAAGGCCAAAAAAAGTACGAAGTTAAAGAGCATTGAGGACCAAAACTTCCTAAACATTTTGCCAAATACAGCTAAGGTAATCTATTCCTGAGGTAGAAAAGCCTTAGTGTTTCAAAAATTTAAAGTTTTGTAAACAGTTAATTTATACTTTTGACCATATCAATGATAATTCATGTCAACACAGAAGTGCTGACTACTGGGCTGGTGATACCCTCGGGGAATAAAAACGTTCCTGGTGAAAGTAAATGCTTCATAGCGATTAGGACGAATAAAATTGATAAAGTTTTATTTTATTGTTTTTAATCACGTTCCCCTGCAATCGTATTCGTTTAATTTCTAAGATAATTATTCATTGTGTTTTGAACGAATTTCAATGTTTTATTCATGGTTATTTTTTTTTTATGTATTGCCGATAAACATTTAATAACATAAGCAACGCGACGGGTGCCACATGTGGAGCAGGATCTGCTTACCCTTCCGGAGCACATGAGATCACCCCCAGTTTTTTAGTCTTTAGTTTTCTATGTTGTGTCATCTGTACTATTATTTGTCTGTTTGTCTTTTTATTTTTGGCCATGGCATTGTCAGTTTGTTTTCGATCTGTGAGTTTGACTGTCCCTCTGGTATCTTTCGTCCCTCTTTTATTAATTATCAAGTTTAATAAGGACAAGAAAAGTTCGAACTACGAATATGACATCAACAACTTGCATCAATATCTTCAAATTTTATTTTGCCGAAAATTATCACTGAGTTTATATCAAGATTAAGATGGAAAAATATGTTTTTTCAGAAATGAAAAATTATATTTTTTTGAGACATTGTCTGTGTTAACACATCAAATGATTAATGCTCATTTTCGGAGGTTTCCTATATAACAGCTATTTCAAAGTGAAATATTTATCTTTGATAATTACAACTGTCAACTTGTTGCTAAGAGGGACATGATACAAATACCATTCCATGTCAGATATTTTTTATTTTCCTACTTGTTTGCTTGTTTTCTGTTTATATTTGAATAGTCAATGCCATGTAACATCTGCGTAATCTTCATTTACATTTTAGAGATGTATAATATAATGAAGTTGTTATTATATACTGTGAATCATACAATTATAGCCTTTTATATGATGTCGATTCGAGATATGTCGACCTCAAAGAAGTATATCGAGTAAGAACAAAGGTTTGTTTTGTCTTGTATGTTGTGTTTTGTTTACTGTTGTTTCTCTTTTGATCGTTTTTCTTTTTTATCATGTCGTTGTCAGTTTGTTTTCGACTTGTTTTAGTTTGAATATCCCTTTGGTATCTTTTGCCTTTCTTTTAGGCCAATGAACGCTTGTACGGACCTCATACAAAAGCTACAATTAATATATTATTATTTTCAATACGCTAGAAATAGAGCAGAAATTCTGTTGATTGGTTGTTACGATTGCGTAAGTTAAGCATCACTTTCCAATCTGCTGTTTTTATGTCTTCCTTTGAAAATATCCTTGAACAATTTACTCATTATAAACGAATTAATTTAGCTAGAATGTAAAAAAAAATTAATACTACATAAGGTGTATTCAAATTATTTGAAGCATTTTTTACACGCTCTGTTAGCATCTAGATGTACATGTAAACTTACTAGGAATAAGGGAAACTGTTTCATTGTTCGAGTAAACAAAAGGGTCTTCAGGAAACAAATCATGCGTAACACTACATCGCATCGTAGCCTTGTCCATATCAGCTGTAAAAACAAAACCAAATTTAACTGTTCGGGTTATAGAACATGTCGTATTGTCAAGGTCGTCATTTGAAGTATGAAAGTGTACATTCAACTTGGTAAATCCCGCATCATCTTGTTTCATCATTTCAATACTTATTTCACCTGGTGGATATCCAACGTTAATTATGCAAGAATGAAGTAACCAAGTTCTATAACTCCCAAGTCCTGCTATTTGATCCGGATGTAGTTGCAAGGTTGCATCTCCATTTGGTTTACCTAAATGAAAAAAAGTAATAGTTTAGTAAAACCCCTTTGTGGTATGCTTTTAATAGTTGCGTAAAAACCTTAGTGGTACGTAATTTTAAAATGTTGAGTCAAAGAATCTTATTGGTATGTATTTTAATAGTTGATTGATTGTTGTTTGCTAAACTTTCAGTTGCAATTATGTCATGCGTCCTCATGACGATTTCAATAGTTGAGTAAAAACCATTAGTTGTGTTCATTTAAATAGTTGAATTAAAACCATCAGTGCTATGCACAGCATACATATCTAAATTGTTTCCCCACAGAAAAATGAAATAAATAAAAGAACAATATTTAGAATATCGGACATTGTTTTTAAATGCGGTTCAAAGAAACATTCATTACAAAATAACTAGAAGATTACGTATAATAGATGATTTTTTTTCTGGAAATACGCTTAATATTAGTCTTTCTCATGAGAAATTCATCAGAAGTCAAAAGATTTAACATATATCTGTATTGTATTTGAAGCTTGGCCTACGTTAAACGTGGGTATTACTGTCGCAAGATGAGTTTACCTAGCGATGCGTAGCGGAGCTGGTAAACGGATATTTGCGACAGTAAAACCAAGTTTTACGTAGGCCAAGCTTCAAATACAATACGGTTATCTCTATTCTAATGTAACATAAACAAAGCAGTTCATTTCGATCATTATTCCGGTGTAAAATTTTATAAAACGAAAATTTGGCGAAATGTTGTTATCGTCTTTGGCAACTAAACAAGGTGACGTAATAGGTATGCTTCCGGCGTAAAAAATGTGAGTTTTTTATTCATAATTGAAGAAATAACATGTCAATACATTCCAGAATTCAAAATGTCGGATTCCCTTAGTTACAGACAGGTAGATAGAGGATTTTACGCTTGTTGCCATCAAATCAGAACCATTGATACAAAAGTATTGCATTAGAATACCCTTTTAAATGATTTAAAACATACAGGTGTAACGTCAATCAGAAAACAATTACATCAGTAAATAAAAACGAATAAAATATGATATAATTAATAGCCTTTAATAATAGACACTTTTTATTGTCATATATCTAGCTGGAAATCACACAGAATCAAAACAAGATGCTCATAAAAGGGATAATGCATAAGGTGAACTATTATAGAACAAATTCAGTTTGGCAAATATCATGAATCAAAACAAATTTTACTTGATGACGACATACAGGACATACTTACTTATCACGCTTAATTTTCCGTGATCCTTTACTGACTCCCCATTTATATCTGTAACTACAGCAAATGTTCCCTCGTTTGTACATGATGGGTTCAATATTGTGATGTTGATAATGTTATTTGACATACTAATAGATACAATATCTTCCATTGCGAACATTGTGATACTATTACTGTCATCAATTAATGCTATTTGCTGAACATCAGTTGCTCCCAAATTTAAGTACGTTACGTTCATAACCGTAAACGTAGCTGTGTCGTTGAGATAACATGTAATCACAGCTGATCCAGAATTTATTAAAGCAATGGTATCAGTACAAACAATATCTGAAAAAGATCATGAATGCCAATGAATTAAACAATGTAATTGTATTATTTTAAGGAATATACAAATTAGAATGAAGCGTGCTAATTTGCTTTAATTGTTGAGTGGTTGATAAAGTCATAAGGTATCCTGTGTTTTGTCCCCTCAATGACTTTTAAAGTCATGGTTAAAGCATATAGCACACTTACATTTAAAAGTCTTACATACCGTTATGGTCAGACTTTTTATCCTCATTAACATTTAAAAGAGGCGAAAGATACCAAAGGGACACTCATAAGTCGAAAATCAAACTGACAAAGCCGTGGCAAAAAAAAACAAAAAAGGACGAAGAGAAAGCAACAATACACAAAAGACAAAAAATTAAAAAAAAACTGAGCAACACGAACCCCACTAAAAACCGGGGGTGCTTTTAGGTGCTCCGGAAAGGTTAGCAAATCCTGCTCCGTTGTGTTGCTCATGTAAGTACAAACCCGGCGATAAGTCTAATTCGGTAGGTCACCTTCGATGAAAATCGGACGGGATTGTGGTTACGACAATTGGAACATATCCGTCGTCATTTGTGAAACAAGTATTTCATAACAGTCAACCAACTCGTGATGGCGTCCGTAAAATTTTAGGGATAATGTCAACTTCACCTCTCGGAACTCATGGTTCAATAGCTTCCTTTAAGCAATAACCCTCTATCACGGAATTCATGATAGGAAATGAAAATGAATGGAATGTCGTTTCAATTTGAGATACATACTCCATACGCAGGCGCTGTTCATGATAATCAGTGCTACCCTAGATGCTCTAAAGAGCCTGTGTCGCTCACCTGCATCTTCAACAATGGCCACTTTTTTGGTAAAAATCATCATTGAACAGAAATGACTCTATCAAGAGTTAACAAAAAATTTACTTTCTTACTATTTCTACCTCCGTCCAAAAAATCTGCCCCTTTTTCAATAAGGCTGCAATAACCGTAAAGTAGCCTTTTGACATATTTAAACGTCATACGATGGACCTGAGATTATGTCAAGGCTGAGAACTTGAAAGTTGATAATTTGAAATTGAAAATCATCATGTTGGTTATAGCTTCTAGTTTGATGTCAAAGTCTGTCAATATTGTGGAAAAGATCAAGATATGAAGCAGACCTTCTACTTTCGGTAGTATCCTTAATTTCAAGTTCACTCGGAAATATGAATTGCGAGCACTCACTGAAATGAGGGTTATTGAGTACCAGGTAATCAATATATCTGGAAGTAAAAGTAAAGAACTTTGGTAGATGTTTTTTTTCTTATTTTCTCACTGAGAATGTTTTGTATCAATTCTGCTTCATACATATATGAGAACAAAAACATGCATTGCATTTAATTGCGAATATAAATAGCAAGCATCAAGGCAAGATATATAGAAATAACACACAAACACACACAAAGGCGCTCGCGTTAAAGCGTGCAATTAACTATCCAAACATTGCATGAAAATAACATTTTTATGCAATTTTCTTGAAATTAACGAGAGCGTACATTTGGAACGTGTAGTACTTATCAAATATAAATAATCAAGAGTCAGAAAGGCTTTGAAATTATGAAAACATCTCGAATTTTACAACAAAAAGAATGGAATACAGAAAAACATAATTAGTATCTACAAACTCAAAGGAAAATTCAACACTATTTGCTTTAGATAAACAACTAGTAATACTACGAAATATGTAAATGAATATAAAGGCATGCATGGTAAGAGGAAAAAATAACAAATGCAAACAATACGCAAACAGCTCAAAGATATGTAATTGTGGTTCATGCAACATTTGTAGAAACAGATAATCTTAAAATATAAGTTATAAAGACTCACAAGGAGAAGGAGCGGGTGTTGTTGTCGGCGGTGCAGGAGTTGTACAAAAGTCTGAAATAAACAAAATCCCCACATTTGGTGACGCAAAGCTAAATTTTACTGATTTCGAAAATACAATGTAATGGATGCTGAAAAAATGAACTAAACCCTGACAGACTAATGCATTAGAACTTTTATTTATCATCAATGTCTAGTTTATGAAGCTTCATTGAAATCCTTTGCATTAGTTTGTGTCAAATGTTTAACATTTCGTTCAACAAGTAAAATGTATATCGGAAAGAATTATTTGGTCTATTTCTAGTTGTACTTTGTAATGAATAACAATTTCAAAACTATAATGATATACTGTACTGAACTTTTCCTTATAGATGAAGATATTTATCTTATGTTTGGTACATTAATATATGAAGTGTAGAACGAGTTTACGTATCTCTCCGGTTGTCCTACTTTTCGTAGAACTACTGCCATAGATTTATTATGAAAGTTGTGTTTCTCCGGTCTGCAGAAATAGAGTTGATTTTTGTTTCATAATTGCATAATGCTGACTGACAGTCTTGCATGAAAAAAAGATTATTATGTATCAGGTTACAACTTTACAACATGTCACAAGAAGCATTTCCGGTTTCATTATTGGCTTACCTGATGGAACTGTTTCATTACACACTGTATCAGAACAGTCAGTATCACAAACTCCTGTTATACTGTTTCGACACTGGTTTGATGTACACGCAATACCTCTTGCATACATTACGCCTTTATCTTCGACACAATAAACCTGCACTTTACAGTTGCTTGGGTGTCCTCGATAACTGTCACTTACACCACAGCTACATATATTTCCTGTTTAAAGAAAGAAGATGGAAAAGTAATAAGAAAGACTAGAACTTTGTAATAAGCAAAACGTTAACTTTTTAAAAAAGATTTAACTTAGAACTTTTTTTAGATATCATGACGAAAGTTGATTTCTTTTTTAATATGTAGTAACAGATACTATTCTGAATTGTATCACAAGACAAAATATTCCTTATTTTGAAAGAACGAATTTATTTAAAAAAAAAACGTTGCAAAGTTTAACCTGAAGTCTTTAACTGCTTCGTTGTAATAAAAAATCAATACATACTCGGAATTAAACTTAATTCGTCGCTTAATGTGAAATCAGTGCTACTATCTGAGACTCGACATCTCAATCTGGCACCATCCATGTCTAATGAGAACTTTAAACCAAATGATATAGTTTCTTTGGTGCTGCATTCATCCGAAGTATTGGTTCGGGATAAATCTATACTTGAATTGGGAATTTGTTTAAAGCTCGTTCCATTATCATATGTTATGTCTATTTCTAGTCTAGCAGGAGGTTCGCCAATAAGTCCTTCACATGTATGAGTTCCAGTGCTCCGATAATAATTTCCATCAGGAAAGACAAGGTCAATAACTTGGTCGGCGTTCAGAGTTAATGTGGGTTTTCCAGCTGGACCTATGATAAAACTGATTACATGTATATGAAATGTATGACTTATTTAAAAAAAATCTAACTCATTAAAATCACAATTGAATGAAAGTCTACTTACTAAAATATAACTTGCTTAAGAAATCTGCTTTGTTTAAACAGATTTGAGAATTTAAATAAAAAAGGTGTTTTGTTTCTCTTTATTTTCATTTTTCCAAAAAAAAGGTACTGGATAATCTAAACAGAACAATTGTAGGCAATGAGAACCTACTACAGTCAAAACGTTAAAATACTATTGTATACGATTATCGATATGATTTAACGGTCCCAAATGCTATTTGGGTTTTTTTTTTATTGGGCTAATTTTTAATCATACTTATATATAACAAACATATCGAAAGGTTTCGCAAAAATGTCAACAGGGCTAAATGCGGGAAAATTACACTGCTAATGAATACCTAAAAAGCACATTATTATATGCAGATCCATGTAGGTCATCCGTATTTGAAAATGTAGTATACATGACAAAACATAACAATATGGAATCAGATGAGTGACATTAAAATTTCCACAAAACACTAAATCAACCTTGACTTCAACCATAGACAACGCCCCCATACGCAAGGTCAGATTTTGAAAACATTTGATGAAAATTGACTTTTACACCACATGGACGAGTTAACTTAATTTTCTTTCAAATGCTAGATATGAAATAATCGGAATCTATGTGGTTCAAGTTTAATATCCATAGTTTGATTGCACAAATGAAGCATGTTGGAATATTTTTTTATATACGGCAGTTGCATAACAGGATCGATATTACTGAGGCAAGTTAAATAATCCATCTGTATTGGCAATGTCTAAGCTAATAGATTATGCAGTGCTACTAAGGTTGGCTCTCTCTCTTGGACACACCTCACGGTTTGACTGTGCTGGTTTGGTCATTTTGGGTTTTTTTTTGTCTCTCTGTTATTTATTTCATATTCCGGCTAATCAATCTTTTAATAGTTTTTTTTTCTCGGAAACACATGCTGTGTGTACAGATATTGATATGGAATGTTTCATTTGCTTCCAGTTCTGTATGGTACTTTCCGCTTACCGAACATAATGTTGGTACGTGTATGATTGTAATTGGTTAGTTATGGTTGTTGTTATCATGCATGTTTATAAAATTGTTAAAAATTTAGTTTATAACATAGTAATTTTAACACCCCTGAGGCCTCCCCCCCAACACTCAAATGGGCTGACAAATATATTATTTAAGATGTTTTCTGCAAAGACATCATCGTATAATTAGTCACACCTCAATAAATTGTAATACATTTACATAACAGTCACTTACTTCTTATTTTCAGCAATACATTCCCTCCAATTACTTCATCCATTTCACCCGAAATATTACTTATCAAAGCTACTTTGTAAGAGCCATCCATTGTACAAGTCACATTAATAAACGTTATTATTAGCTTTATTGTTGATGTACTTTCGATGTTAATGCTTATATACTGATTTTCCTTATCTGTTTTGAATATAGTTCCATTTTTATAAACCAAAACTCCATATATCATATTGGCAATCCCATTTTCATAAGAAATTCCAATATATTCAAACTCCTCCGATTTTTTTATGGTACATTCCATAGTTACAGGTCCAGAATACAGGTCCGCCTCTACTGTATCTGTACAGTTTAATTCTGAAACAAGGAAAAGGTTCAAATGTCATTAAACAGAAATTTTTTCTAAGATTTTAGCAGTTGTTATAATGTCACTTTTTGCAATAATATTTTGATATCTTATTCATACCTACTTCAAGCCTTCTAATGCACAAAACTTAAAGCACAATATACTTATACTTTCGTTTGACTACGTAAAACGGTAAGTGTCTTTATTAATGTTTTCTGTGGTTCTTTTTCAATATAACTGCTTTAAGTACATGTAATTGCCAAACAACACTTTAATTCACGGATTTACGATGTTCGTGGGTTAATGCTCAACGTTGTTTAATTATACGTGTTTAGTATTTTGCATTATTCCATATTGATAGAACCTTAGTAGATTTTTCTATATGAATTGGATTTTGAATAAATAAGCATATTCACCTGCGGAAAAAGTATATTCACCGCGCAAAACGTCGCGTGCTTTTACGTTATGTTAAAATCTTTTGATGTACAATTGGTTTTTGTAAATGTTGTCATTATTTACATTCTTATTGGTACTCTCTCGGAATATAGAATAAAACAATAACTGTCTTTTCTTTCGGTACATACGTGGTTTAATTGACTTTTGAAAAACTGATATTCAATTCGGCCGCTGGCCTCAGTGAATATCAGTTTTTCAAAAGTCAATAAAACCACATATTTACCTCATCAAAAGACAGTAATTGTATAATATTTACTTCTTGGATTATTTTGCTTTTTATAACGTTGCCAATTTGAAAGTAATTCATTGCATTTTATTGCAACCAAATGTAATAACCTATGTTTATAATCTGTTGAACTAGCATATTATGTTTTATATTATTTTATGTTTTATCTATCATTTAATTATAACAAAAAAAATCTAAATTAGGAGTAACTATGGAACGCCACAGCTGTCTTATGTGGAACTCTGATATTACTTTATGTTGTTTTATTATTACTTGATGATATTTTGTCTTTACTTAATATGGTTTTGACATTACGTAATGATGTTTTGATATAACTCAATATGGAATAGTCATTACTTAATGATATTTCGATATTACACGATATGGTTTCGTATTGACTTGATATAGTTTTGTCATTACTCAATATGGTTTTGTCATTACTCGATGTGGTTTCACCATTATTTAATGTGGTTGTGTCATTAGTCAATGTGGTTTTAACATTACTTGATGTGAATGTGACTTAACGTTATGTAGTTGTTTCATTACATGATGTGATTTTGTTATTTCGTAATGATGATTTGCCTATTCTTTATATGGTTTTAACATTACGCAATGATGTTTCAAAATTTGACGATTTTACACTACATGATGTGTTTGTTTCATTATTTGATGTGGTCCTGTCATTCTTTGATGTGGTAATCCCATTACTTGATGAGGTAAAACCACGTGACCAATTCGGAAAAAAATATGTTCTATTTTTAAACAGATTTCAATATATCGTTTGTTTAATGTGCTTTGGATGGGTATCGCTATCCATTGAGTTAAAGTTCAAATTGAAGTTCGAGTGGATGTTCAGAGTTATTTGGTATGAAAAAGGGGAACGGCAGACAATAATAAGAAAAAAGTATTAAAAAGTTTACAGTATTTCGGACATAATTGGGATATCCCCAAACCACTTGGTCCTGTTGTTTTTATCCTAAGTTCTCAAACGGAAGCAGTATTTTTGTAATAAATTTGTAAAATATTCCACGGAACCCTGTGTCTCGCCTGATATTGCTGCTGTAAGTGTAAAAGCGTCATGTTGGTCGGCTGTACATTTATCGGTAAAAAAAAAAAATTAAAAAAAAGGTTTTCCGTAGATTCTTTTTCTTGAAATTGAGGAATAACTCCTATATAAGTTTTAAAACACTTCATGGAGGTTTACAAATTTATCATGTCAAAACAGCTTAATTCGGTTTTATTTAACTAAAACAAAACTGTATGGTTTTCAACAATGAGCAAAACCTATACCCTATAGTAAGCTATAAAAGGTCCCGAAATGAAAAATGCAAAAAACTAGAAACCTAACGATCTATAGATAGATAGATAGATACTTTATTCTCTAAAAACTAAATACAAGTTTACAGAGAAACATACAATATAAATACAGATACAATAGTCGAGGTAAACAAATACAGTATGATATTCTATAAGTACAAAATTATGATGGCATACATGTTTAGTAACATGTATAATGAAAGGTTAAACTCAATAGAAATTTTAAAAAATGGAGATGGAGACGCCGATGCCACTATCGAAGACGAAATATAGGTTTGTTGTGTCTCACTGCCGCTACATTGATGTCGCAGGCTCGACACAAATCAAAAGACTTGAACTGTATTGTTAACAAATGAAACACTTCAAATCAACTCACACTAAAGTTACAGGGAAACGGGGGGAGGGGGGCTCGGACTAAGCGACAAAGCATCAATACTATAAAATAAGAATTCTCCGAATTTTTTTTTAGCGTAAATGATCATTTGAACTTATACGAATATCAATCTTTTATTTGTAATCAATTAAATTCCCTGATCTACCTCGCACTAATTGAAAAATAAACTTTTGGAATATCTGTTTCACATAAGACGACGGACATGTTCCAGTGGTCGTAACCATAGTACCGTCATCTTTTCCTTGAATGTAAACTACCAAATAAAACCAAATCAACTGAAAGTTGGGGGGCATATTGTTTTACCCCTGTCCGTCCGCCCGTCCGTCCGTCCCATTATGGGTATATAGTTATTCCGCATAACTCCTCCTACAGTTTGAATCCTAGGAAGTTTTTCTCTTTACTGTTTGTTTGTACATATATTGAAGGTGTGCATGTGATCAGGGTTTTTATTTTTATTATCTTTTGCTCTTTTGGGAGATAACCGAACTTTTTTTTGTCAATTTGGGGTATAAGCGGTTAAATGAGTTGAGTGCGGGGCATCACTTTGTCTAGTTTACATTTTTTCTCGTGTTGTGCTGTTACACAACTGTAACAGTCCGATGTAAGGTTAGGATTTAGCGCTCACATACATGTTAAACTCCGCCACGTGCACTTTCTTTATGTACCTGCCCCAAGTCAGGAGCATGAAGTTCAATTGTTGTCGTTGTATAAATGTGTGTCTTTTTTTTTGTAGATTGTTTATTTATAATTAAATAAGACCGTTTGTTTTTTCGTTTGAATTTTTTCACATGTGCATGGTGGCCTTTTGTAGCTGACTATACGGTGTGTTGAAGGCTGTACGGTTGCCTATATATGATTTCTTACATCCACTGCATTTAAACTCTGGTGGATAGTTGTCTCATTGTCAATCACACCACATCTAACTTTATTTCAACTTCTATGTTGCGTTTTGTATACTGTAACATTGTTTATCTTTTGTACGCATACCCCGGAGCCCTCTTTTCGGAAGCCCGAGCAAAAGTCCTTGTTCCGCGATAGAAAATTTAATTACGAACTCATATAAGATAGCTCGAATTTCAACTCAAAATCTTAATTAATCTAAATGAGACTTAAATTCGAATCTTACTCAAACTCTACCTCAAAAAGTGACTCAAATTTAATGTTGTAACTAGAACTCTACCTTTAAATGTGACTCAAACTCGAAGTCCAACTCGAAACTCAATGCTAACTAAAACTTTAATTATGATAATGACTTGAATTCGAAATCGAAGACTAACTCAAAGTTGAACGCAAACGGTAACCCGAACTTTAATTTGAACTCTAATTCGATGGATGGCCACACTCATCCAAGGCACATACAACATGGAAATCTATCTAAAGATAGAACAGGTTTTTCCGAATTGGTCACGTGGTTTTACCTCATCAAGTAATGGGATAACCACATCAAAAAATGACAGGACCACATCAAATAATGAAACAAACACATCATGTAGTGTAAAATCGTCAAATTTTGAAACATCATTGCGTAATGTTAAAACCATATAAAGAATAGGCAAATCATCATTACGAAATAACAAAACCACATCATGTAATGAAACAACTACATAACGTTAAGTCACATTCACATCAAGTAATGTTAAAACCACATTGACTAATGACACAACCACATTAAATAATGGTGAAACCACATCGAGTAATGACAAAACCATATTGAGTAATGACAAAACTATATCAAGTCAATACGAAACCATATCGTGTAATATCGAAATATCATTAAGTAATGACTATTCCATATTGAGTTATATCAAAACATCATTACGTAATGTCAAAACCATATTAAGTAAAGACAAAATATCATCAAGTAATAATAAAATAACATAAAGTAATATCAGAGTTCCACATAAGAAAGCTGTGGCGTTCCATAAGTAACTGTTGTTGGGTTTGTTGGCTGAAGTGACAACATTTGGCGTTGTAGTTACACCTTTTAAACGTGGTACTTGAAATAATTATGCTCGATGCTTTATTAACGTCTCCTCGACGTTATTAAGAATTGAACGATTGACAGTCTTCGGGCTGAATGCTTCTAACTCTGTACCTGATTGGAAGATATTACTGAGACTTTAATAATTAAAGTTCGTTGATTGGTTGGGACAATCCAAACCTAGTAAATGTCTGTCAATCCCGTAGAGTATCGAATTTGTACTCTCTATTTTAGCAATTAGATTTTGCCTGGTCACCAATCATGCATATCGGTACACAGGTAACTTTTATCTATAAATAGCCGAATATCCTGTTAACACACACACATGACTGTTTCACATTCAATCCAGTCGCTCACTGTTATGCACATTTTATACACGAAAAACATAAGATAACTTGAACATGGTTATGATTTTTAATGACGAGAGAATAAATTGTTTGACAAATGTGTAAAGCATTTACAGCCATGATTTGAAGGATTATTCCGTTGGACCTTATTTGATACATAACACTAAACGATATACTGCTTCATAAGGGGACGACCATTTGATATTCTGGGGGGGCCAGGAGGATTTGTTTTTGATCGGTTATTTATTTTTGTAAACTAAGAGGACAGATTATCTATTTTCTGCACTGTTGAAGCAAGATTTTTCATTTTCATTAAAGCAAGGGACTGATTATTTATTTTCACCACTATATTTATAATATTTGAAAACATACAATTTTTAAATTCATTTTTTATTATAAATAATACATGAGTAGTCCAATCATTATGTACCATTTAATCAGAATTAATCATCATCATCTGTAGAAATGAATCTTCTGAATTCCCAACTGCATATACATGTATTGCATACATACAAGATATTAAAGTTTGGCTGTAATAAGTGTCTTTTAAAAGTATTGCAAATCATTTATGCCGAGCGGAGCGAGGCTAAAAAAAATTTGAAGGGTTTTGGAGCCGCTGAAGGCCCCAAGTTGCTATAGAACTAATGATGCAAAATGTGTTTCCCATACCCTTTCTTAATCTGAAAATGAAAGTTCTGTTTTAATCATTTTTTGACAATACTTTGGTCTCAAAGCAACATGTATAGATTCAGTGTAAGACTTTTTTAGGAGTTTTTAGGAACAACATCAAAAGACAAAGATAAAGCAAAAATTTAATTCACATAGTTAAGTATGTGGCTGCTGTTTTTTTTTAAACTCTTGATCAAGTTAATAACAAAATTACTAAATTACAAAAGGAATGCAACACTAACAGAATACAGAAGGGCAATCAATGAACAAAAGAAAAATAAATAAGAAACATTGATCCTCAAAAAACAGGAGCTACGTCTGAGGGAGAACAGAACTTGCTTCTTGCAAGACACTTGCCGTGAAAACAATTTGATATGAAGACAAGCTTTTGGTTTTGAAATTTCCTACATGAGGCATTTGCCTGAATGTAGTTACTGCCATATGTAATAAAAGTGAGTTAAGTGTTCCTGAGACAATATACCTCAAGTTAAATGAAACCCATTTTTCAGACATTTCAAGTATTTTAAATAATATTTATACTTTTATTATTCAAAGATTTGGGAAGTGATTCCCGATTTATTTTGAAAAAAAAGTTGAATTTTATGAAGAATCTGGTGCAATCTCATACTCTCAAATAGACCTGCCAAGTTATTTATTTTTAATACATTGCAAGTCAGGTTATTTATTTTCAACCTACCACAGAACAAACCATTTATTTTTGTGATTATCAAGGCTGAGTTATTTATTTTCAAAATCCTCCTGCCCCCCCCCCCCCAGAATATCAAATGGTCGTCCCCTAACGTGTGTGGTAAAATTTGTTGATTGACATGCAAGGCTATTCTGAATGAATTAATCTACAAAGCGAGAACACTTTCTACTTTCATCAACTAAGAGACGGCTAGCTTTTTTCGAAAAGCTATTACTTGTCTGAATATGTAGTTGCTACTGTCGAGTAGCTTGATGAAATTGTAGTCTCAATAAATATGGTCTTCTTACCGACTGAAGAGGGCGTAAGCGAAGTCGATGTACCATCTGAAGATGGGCCATAAGCAGGCGTTAATGTTGGAACATTGCCTAATGTTGCTGTTGTTTCTTTTGATGAAGGGACTTCTGATGTTGTTGTCTCCACTGCTATAAAAGGCAATTCATAATACATTTTATGTCTTTAAGGACAGTCATATTTAATGAAAAATTGTATTACAAGGAAAGATTATAAAAGGTGATGAAGCGTGCGAAATAACGATTAAAAGTTTAATATTTATTTTCTCCAATAAATTGTTAACAAGGATGACAAAATGAATTCGGGTATTTTCAATCAATATAAAAATAAGAAGATGTGGTATGATTGCCAATGAGACAACTCTCCACAAGAGACCGAATGACACAGAAATTTACAACTATAGATCATCGTACGGCCTTCAACAATGAGCAACGCCCATACCGCATAATCAGCTATAAAATGACAAATGTAAAACAATTCAAACGAGAAAACTATAGGCCTAATTTATGTACAAACTAATGAACAATTGTAAACTTTTCAACAATAGGACAAAATACACAAACAACATAGAAATGAATCAAATCAGACGCGACAGAAGAGATGTTTTAATTAATAGTTGATACATGCATGCCTCAAAATAAGTATCATACATACATTTATTTCAACTCTAATTGTCACCGTAATAATTTTAAAGTCAGAACGGTTGATACCCTTAACTTTGTTTGGATTTATAAGAAAAAAACAAGCTACAAAATAACAGCATATATGTACGTAAGAAGTGATTTGATTTGATTTGATTTTTGGTGTTTAACGCCACTTTTAAGCACCGCATTTGGGCTATTTCGTGGCAGCCAGTTTTTATTGGTGGAGGAAGCCGGAGTGCCCGGGGAAAACCACCGACCTTCGATAGGAAAACTGACAATCCTAGTCAATTAAGATTGGAGTCGAGTGCACCCGTAAGAAGTGAATAAGGATATAAACAAACTCCTCATGAACACAAACATTGAAATTTAGTACACCAGACGCGCGTTTCGTTTACAAAAGACTAATCAGTGACGCTCGAATCAAAAAAGGAAAAAGGCTAAATAAATTAAGAACTTGAACAGGACAAAGGACCCAAAATTCTGAAAGGTTTGGCCAAATACAGATAAGATAATCTACTATTCCTGGGGCAAAATTTGGTAAACTGTTTTTTTATAGTTATGACCATATCATTGATAATGCATGTCACCACAGAAGTGCTGAATACTTTATACTTACAAAATGAAAGGTGTCGATCAAGTAACATCGGGTAATAAAGTCTTGCATAAGACTTCTAATCCATACATCACGTATATTGTATATATATTTACGTGATATATCAAGAAATATCTTTTTTTTTTCAATATAACAGTAAACAAAAAAGTAAACAATTACCAGATTATTAAAGTATGTTATTTCCTATTGATTTGTTTAATATTGACATTGTAACGAAGATTTAAGAAAATCCCAGTGTACACATGAGCTACAATTTGTACAATTCATAGTCATGTCTAAAAATGTATAACATGATAATATATTTTCAAACAACTACTTACATGATGTTTTATCACTAGACGTATCCATTCTACTTGTCGATACGGTCGTTTCATCTTGAGTTGTAGTTGATGTCATGTCTTCTGGAAGTGCTGTACTTCTCGATGTTGTGTCGTCCATAGTTGAAACCTTTACTGATGCATACGTTTGATCTGTCATCGCAATAAAAGTTGTGGTTTCTTTGTTTTGTGTAATAGTTGATTGTACTTCCGTTTTGGCTGAAGATACCGCCGATGTTGTTTCTGACAGAAATGGTTTATGTGTTGTCCTAGTTGTAACGTCAATCGTTGTAGGTGTAACATAATCTGTAACAGTTACAGTTTTTGTTGTTGATTGTGTAATTGATGTTGTCGTTGTTTTGTCGTTCAACATAGTAGCAACTGACGTAGTTGATTCATCTGCCGGTTTGGCAGTAACTGATGATGTGGTCATTTCTGGTGTTTTATAAGTTGTTGAAGATTTTGAGGTATCCTTTAGTGTGGAAGCAATAGATGGCGAAGTCACTATTACTGGTGTGGTTATCGTAGCATCCTTATTGGATATTTTTTCTTGTGTCGTTGAAGTCTCTGCTTGTGTGCTTTCTTTTGTTGTGGTTGAAGTACCTTCTGTTATTTTGAAAGTTGTTTGTTGAGTTGTTGTTTCTTCTGACACTTGGTCAGTTGATGGATTAGTCATCGGTTCTAGTGTTGTTGAGATTGATGATATAGTCGTTTCCTTTGTTGATTGCATAGTGTTTTGCGGAATCTCTTCTGTTGGTGAGATTGAGGGTGTAGAGATTTTTGATTGCATAGATTTTGGTGTTGTTTTTTCTGTTGACGAGATTGAGGGGGTAGTAGTTTTTGTTGTTGATTGCATATTTTTGGGTGTTGTCTCATCTGTTGACAAGATTGAGGGGTTTGTAGATTCCGTTGTTGACTGCATGATTTTGGGCGTTGTTTTTTCTGTTGACGAGATTGAGGGGGTAGTAGTTTTTGTTGTTGATTGCATATTTTTGGGTGTTGTATCATCTGTTGACAAGATTGAGGGGTTTGTAGTTTCCGTTGTTGACTGCATATTTTTTGGTGTTGTCTCATCTGCTGCCGTGATTAAGGGGGTTGTAGTGTCCGTTGTTGATTGTATTGTTTTTGGTGTTGTCTTCTCTGTTGACGACATTGTGGGGGTTGCTGTTTTCGTTGTTGATTGCATGTTTTTTTGTGTTGTCTCGTCTGTTGACGAAATTGAAGGAGTGGTAGTTTCCGTTGTCGACTGCACAGTTTTTGGTGTTGTATCAGCTGTTGACGAGATTGAGGGAGTAGTAGTTTCCGTTGTTGACTGCACAGTTTTTGGTGTGGTCTCTCCTGGTGATGTGATTAATCGGGTCGTTGTTTCCGTTGTTGATTGCATAGTTTTTGATGTAGTATCTCCTGTTGATGTGATTGTGGGTGTTGAATTGTCCGTTGTTGACTGCATATTTTTTGGCGTTGTCTCTTCTGTTGACGAGATGAAAGGGGTAGATATTTCCGTTGTTGACTGTGTGTTTGGTGTTGTCTCTTTTGTTGATGAGATTGTGAGGCTAGTCGTTTCCGCTGTTGATTGCATAGTTTTCAACGTTGTTGCTTCTGTTTGTTGAACAGTTTCAGAAGCCGGTGTAGTCTCTGTTGATGGCACATTTTCTTTCGTTGTTGTTTCAATAGTTGATTTTATGGTTGTTGTGGTTGCTATTTTGTCAACAGCTGGTGGGGATTCTAGTGTTTCAGTTGCCACGTCATGAACAATTATTGTACTTGTTATGACAACTAAGCTTCCTAACTGGGTACCGGAAACAGTTAAATGTGTAATCAGTGTTGTCGAAATAGTGTCTGTAGTGACCTGCTGATTCGTCGTACTAATGAAGTATATAACGTAGTTCACAATGATGCTCCCATCCCTGTAATTGTAACATTTTTTAATCAGAATCGTCTGAAAGTGTATGATATAGTAGCAATGTTTTACTTCATGACATGTAAAAGAATTCCAGTATTGGATATTTTAGTAAAAATAATCAATCTATTGGCCGTAGCTGACCACCATCAACACAAAATATCCAATTAGTTTGTTTGTATTAAAAAAAATAGAGACAGGCAAATTAACCTAAGAGTACGAAGCGTTCAGCGGTTACCACAATTATAGCAGTATATGGCCCTTTTTAACATTCCGTACTTACAGAAACCGAAACATTATTTTATTTCGTGTCTTATTACGACTATAACCAACACATACAGATGCATAGCTTCATGATAATTCTGTGCAAGCTCGAACAATTTTAATTTAACTTAAAAAAACTATTGCTGCGTATAATGCAAATTTCTTATTAATATGTTGTCAGAAACCCTCAGAGCAGCTGTATAATTTAAAATCAATATTTCTACTAAGATTTACTTTGCAACTCACTCAGACAAAGTAGGCCCAAGACGTTTAGGTCCTGCCTGTTTTAAATGCTCTCAGACTTTTTAATGTTTGGAATTGTATGCGACTGGCATACAAGTGAGAGGTTTAGCTAGCTATAAAACCAGGTTTAATCCACCATTTTCTACATAAGAAAATGCCTGTACCAAGTCAGGAATATAACAGTTGTTATCCATTCGTTTGATGTGTTTGCGCTTTTGATTTTGCCATTTGATTAGGGACTATCCGTTTTGAATTTTCCTCGGAGTTCAGTATTTTTGTTATTTTACTTTTTTTGAAACATTTGGTCTCTGGTGCACACACTGCAGATCATTCCTGTTACACTTGTCTTGCGCAGGGATATCTTCGTCATACATTTAAGGTTCTCTTAACGCTCACTTACGTAAGTTGAATGACTTTACATCCAAAATAACCATCTACCGAGCTACTTTTACTTGCGTATACATTTTCCATCTGAAAATAATTAACACGATTACTATTCAGTCAAATAACGCGAAACAACATGTTAACGTCATTAGTATGATAAGATTAGAGACTTTTCTTGTTTGTCGCAAGTCAATTTTAAAAAGTGCTAGTCTCTTCTTCACCAAATATTGTATACTTTTTAATGTTTTAAAGTTCAGCATGTTTGCAATTTTCTGTAAGCATGCTTCCTCTTGTGAGTAATAATTATATAACTATTTTTTTGTTTTGTTTATAATTGTTGAATTTATTCTTTAGGCACAAATGTATCTGATAACTTTTTGATACTTCTGAAACTATTCGTAAATCTTGTCTATAGCATACCTCACTGCAAAATTTGGTTGCGAATGTCTTATATTCCGTTGATTCTGTATCGTTTAACTCTGGTGTAAAAGTCTGGTTAATTGCAACCGTCATGTTGACTTTCACTGTTTAAAAAAAAAGAGTTAAAAATTAAGTAACGACAGATTTAATACCTTTTACAAGAGACGGATATATTGATATATAATAAAGAGAGGTCGTTATTTCGGAAAATAGAGTTAAATTAGTGTTTATTGTTTTCGTTTGTCAAATACATGACATATTGTAAGTGTTACTCCCTTCTTTTACATTTGTACGTTATCGATAGAAGTAGAAAATAAGAATCGAAATTGTTATTGTATTTTATAACTTTGGTTAATATTGCATTTATGTTGACTATATGCATTTTCACACTCGTTTACATATGTTGCCGACTAAATTTAAAAAATAAAAACAGCACTTTATAAATTGAATGCGTCCGATGCGCTTTTCTGGATTAACCTTCGCCAGAACGCTCAAATCCGAATATTTGAAAGCCATAGGTTTCTAAAAACCGAAACATTTGAAGAGCTATATTACTAAAAGGGACATCAAAATAAAAGCTAATTTCTTCTAAGGTCAACTTTTCCTGAGGGAGTTGAAACCTTAATAGGTCCTTTTCTGCAGAGAAACAAGTCAAGTAATTGTCTGCTGCATAATAAACAATAAAAGACCAGTAATCATATATTTGCATAAATAAATATTACGTTTAAACGTTTATGATAACCTGAGGTACATACCCATAAAATTATGGTAGGTTTATACACCAAAGCAATTAATCAAAGACTTCCTTAGCCTTAATTAATCGTATTGTTCAAAATAACATATATATATTTTTTTTTTCTAGGGATAATTAATATAAGGCACTGTATAAACAATGAAATTTGAAGTCGTTTTTTTTTCGGTCAATTCAGATATCTTGGATTAGAATGATCATCAAAATCTCGGTTCCAAAACTAATTTTTATAAGACATTAATGCCGTCTTGGTATCTTTGATCTCATGTTTAACTTTAAAATCTCACTGTTTAAATCCCACTGCAATTCGTGGGGATATAAAACAGAAGAATTAATTTAATTACTTTCAGTTGAAATTAAGGAAACAAAATAGGGAATTTACTTTTCTATTTCAATAAACCTTCTCATTGACTTTCTTTAAGAAAAGAAACAATGGACCAAGTGAGCTTTTCTCATCACTTGGCGTCCGTCGGTCGTCGTCGTCCGTCGGCCGTTGTCGTCGTCCGTTAACTTTTACAAAAATCTTCTCCTCTGAAACTACTGGGCCAAATTCAACCAAACTTAGCCACAATCATCATTGGGGTATCTAGTTTAAAAAATGTGTCCAATGACCCCGCCTGCCAACCAAGATGGCTGGCATGGCTAAACATAGAACATAGGGGTAAACTGCAAGTTTTGTTTATTATTTTGAAAACCGTTATAAAAAGAGGAAATCTGACATTGGCAGAAATGTTCAGAATGTTGAGCTCTACCAATTGTTCATTGACGTCAAAACTGTCTGGCGACTTCTTATAGGAGTTATTTCCCTTAAATGACAAATTTTACCATTGTTTTTCTTTCTTTTTTTTTCATTTTTGAATATTATTTAAAAAATTATAATAGATAGATAAAAACTTTAAATTGCAAAAATGATCAGCAAGACAAGTTCTACAAATAAGACTCATGGTGGAAATCGATTACAATTTTTACCATTTTTTTTTTTTTCGTTTTGCCTTATATGATAAAAATTATAATAGATAAATAGACACTTCAAATCACAAAAATTATCAGCAAGGCAAGATCTACTAATAAGTCAGAGATTTTTGTCATGAATTCTATTCTCGTCCACAATGTTGGAGAGTGTCCTTTGTTGAATATGCACATTGACCAAGGTGAGCGACACAGGCTCTTTAGAGCCTCCACTTTTCTTTTTAGAATGATTTTACCTCAGATTTTTACTCTGTTACTGTCACTTGAATTAATATATACTCACCATAGTCAGTCTTATCTGAAACAAGAACAATTTTAATTAACAACAATTATTATGATTTATCAAACTTTTTTATATTCAATTAATATCAATAATTATATCAAACTTGGAATGATTGGAATTTATTGTATCTATCATCAAAGCAAAATCAAACAAACAACAGAAAAGGGAAAATGTTACTTATAGAATAACTAGTCTAATAAATCAAATATAGAAATATATTCAACTAGTGACTGAACAAAACATCATTTTACGCGTTTGGGTATCTCATGCGTAAATTATCCTTTCTATTACAATGACCATCGATTTTTAATTAAGATTAAGCACAAAATGCAAGGAATTATATCTTTCCTCCGCAATCTCAATTTAGTTTTGCTGCAACGTCATAGACATGTCTTGTTGTATGACATTAGGGCAGTGAAATTATCGGATTTATTTCACATGTGAAATTATAGATTTTTATTTTACGTGGAAATCATGCTACTTCATTGCAACAAATGTGAAAAACGTGTATTTCTATATTCATATACTATATCAAACCTCAATAAGAAGTACTGATTTTTAATAATCATTTATCACTTGGCAATTTCCGAAGCTAAATGGTTTATATGTGTCAAGTAATAATCCTGATAAAGAAATGATTAACTGTTAAAATTTGGCAGTTAATACTATAAAAGTAAGTTTTGAAGAAACCCAATGACGATCAAATTATTGAAGATAAGCATTTCAACTGTTTTTTTTTTTCACCCAAAATCAATATCGGCACGTAGGGACAGTCCAATTCAATATCTTGAATCTATAAGACCGCTTGAAATATCACAGTTACTCATTCATGGTTTTCATCAAAAGACTGTTGCACCTGAATTTATTTCACACCAGCTCCATCTTTTTAAAATATGTCCTTCAGTCCTTATACTAAAAATTAGTATCACAGATTCATATGTGTTCTTAAAGGTTCAAAAAGAAATTGGCAGATTTACAACTTTTTAACAAAATCATAAAAGCCAAAGGTAGTCTCAAAGCTGCAATTTTGACGGAGTTTTGTAAAATTCATTAATTATCCGAAAGATGTTTGAGAACGATGGTGTTCAAAATCAACCAAAATTAATTGTTTTTGAAATTATTCTTTTCTTTATAAATCAATTCATTTTATTTATTCGATATAAAATTGCCCCAAAACGTGTCAAATTGGCGATATTGCTTTCAACAGCAATTGGTTGTGTTGAATTACGTTTTGATTCTATCAAAATATGTAAAAATGCTAACAATTAAGTTTAGTGGCTTTTTAATATTCGAATTCCAGTAGGATTAAGCAAAAGTTACTTTTGTTTAGTGTGACCTTAATATATGGTTGAAACAGGGCAAATTGACCCTACTGACTTGAGTGCGCACATCACGTATTTCTAGAGTAACGTTTATCAAATACGTTCAAATCCAATGTTCATGAAGCAAACCACTAATGCAATGTATCGTTTGGAACAATCGACATTAAACATGGTCCAAACGGAACAATCAAATTCGTCTTAGATCAACTTTGAAGGAATTTCAACCTTAGCTTTAATACATTTGTACAATTTAGATTTAAATGTCGATTAGTAAGATGGGAGCGGTGAAATTGATGACTTATGCTTAAACCACTCATCTGTCACTTATGTAAAGATGTATCTAAACATCGAAACGAAATCGAACAGTAAGACATTATGTATTTATATATCAACGAAAGTCTATTAAGTATTAAATGAGACTGATATACGAATACAGTTTGCAGTTCAAACTTGAAGAGATCGTAAAAATGTCTTATTGAAAAGTTGCAGCAATCTTAAAAACTAACACCCAATTTTGGAAACAAAGGCATCGTTTATTTCTGGAATATTTGAATAGCTATTTTTTTTTTAATTGATAGCAACTAAACCTTGCATGAATGTGTTCAAAAGTAAAAAAATAGCCCCCAAAATAATCATGGTTTTACGATTCGTTTGTTCAAATGCATTAATTTGCTCTTAATTTTATTAACTAATAGTATCTATACACGCATAATTTAAAAAGTCTACTAGTATTTAAACATGCATTAATTCAAAAGTAAAAAATTAGCCCCAAAAATAATTATGTTTTACAAATCGTGTGTTCAAATGTATTAATTTGCTTCAATTTCAACTAAAAGTATCTATACACGCATAATTTAAAACGTGTAAAATATCTCAACACTTCAATTTATAAAGTATTTAAACGTGCATTTGTTCCAATGAATAGCCATTGAAAATTACCGGAGGAGTGGGAAGTGATCAGTTCGGAGAATTATAAATCCATTAGAAGAAAATCAATGTGGTCATGCATATTTTGACGTTTTGCCATGATAAAACACACGGTTAAACGAAACAAAACAGTACGACATTTGTAATAGTTTTATAAAACATATATATTAGTACCTGATTTTATAAATAAATACTGCAAGCCAATTTTTTTTTACAGATCTTAGATAATTGCCTTTTAAGGACCTTTCACAAACAGTGCCAGAGAAAAAAGACTCGTATCACTATTTGAACAATACCTTGTTTACATATGTGTAACAATAAATTAAATTTAATTTGTTATCAAATATTACTTTATACTTTTACAGTATTATTGGATGATATTTCATGGACGTATTTTTGTAAAAGGTAGAATCCCAAAGAAAATGTTTCGAATGACAAGTACTCTTTAAAATCCGTCTTTATTAACACGAAACTTTGTAAATGATATAAATGATGTGCACAATATTGTCATGTCGTTCTATTTAAACAATAAGAGGTTTATTTTTGATGTAAAGGAATTATCTATTGATCAAAATGTTTAAACATGAAAACATGGGGTCATTTTTCCAAACAATAATAAACATTAAGAATAACTGATCAATTCATGCGTTACAATGTCCCATAAACCAAAAACAGATGTATTGTTATATAAGTAGAAATGTGATTTAACATAAAATATCAACAAAAAAAACATTGTCTTATTTCCGCATTTTGTTTTATTTGTGATAACCAAGTTACGATTACAGAGCAGCTATAAAATAACGTGTGTTTAGCAGAGTAGCAGCTTATCCCAATTTTAAAATCTTTGATTGCACGAGTCGGCCGATGATCGAATCCGCGCCTAACTACACTCGAGACCAGTAATTTATCAAAATATGTTGCCTACGGTAGTTAGTCTATAAAATCACGTGTCACATACAAACGACCAGAACCCACTGCATGCGGAATAAATAAATAGAAAAGATTAAGGAAGGGTACATTCTGGGTTGATATAAATAAAATATAACATCTGTTTGATGACTTTTTAATTTTATATTCATAAGCCCTTCTTGCCTATTTTGATTTATATTGCTCTAGATCTGACATGCCCTTACAAGTTTTAGAAGAATACTTTAGTTTTTTTTTCGGAAAAGATAAGGGAATCATTTGTCTAGAACTATAATATAATATTAGCTCGCTGTTGTCATACTTTTTTATCAATGTATCCGCCTCTCTGTTTTCGATTGGCTGTACGTTTGGGTCTTTCCCAACCGTGATACTATGTATATATTAAAATGGCAATTGCTTTGCACATGGCCAAAATATGTCAATTTGCGGATCTGTCACATTTAATCATATTAATCAGGACTTGTATATTATCCTTGATTCGATATATAATAAGCAAGTGCATTCAGATTACAATGATCTATACATATTATACCAAAATGAAAGCATATAATCTTGAAATGAATCTTTAATATTGTACCATTTACGTTACAATATAAAATTTAAAACCCGACATGCATGTAAACCCCTTCCGCCATGCATGTATGCATAGACGTTGCATAATAATCTACCGCATACCAACATGTCAACATACCTGTGCCTTCATTTAGAAATTTGTTAAAAATAGAAGAAGAAAAAAAAAACGTTTACAAAGTTGCATTATTTATTAGATAACCAAGATTAACTCGTGGAATTCGGTCATTCATTTTTGGTGTTAACACTCTTGAATCCGATCACATTGCGTGATAGATACTTATTTCTACTGTCACTGCAATATCATTGAATCTTATCTGTTCTTTCAGTGTTAAGTTTCATCCAAGTAAGAAAGGATCAGACTATAAGCGGGAAAAAGGGCACTGGCGCATGATATTACCAAGCTCCTGAACGATCCTCGCATAATTCAATTACATTAAAATTAGTAATGTGAATAGGGCTTTTTCTTTATAGTATGCCTAAGTGAAACTTGAATTTTTAGTGGGTTTTTGTTTTCTCTCTTTCGTATTAGACGAGTCCTCGGGTATCTGTATTCACAAAGTGTGTGTAATTAAATGTCTTATATTTTGTTTTGAAAAATTATAAATGGTTTTAAATAAAGTTTTGGTTTGCTTAAAATATATAATTATACAAATGCATTAATAAGAAACTAATGGTAAAAAAGCAAAACAAAATCATTTCAAACATACCAAAAAATGCAGGATTTCAAGGATAAAAAAGGGAATTACCTATTTTCACTGTATTGATTTCATGACTTGGGCATACCTTAATAAATGATGATTATTCTAAATATAAATATAAAAGGATGCCTATATAGAGTATTTAATAAATTTTGATTAAACAGGTCGGAAACACAACCTTATATGGATATGCATAAATTAGCATACTTATGTCCTCGCACATAATTGTTTATTTACGTATGATTTTTTTTAACCTAGATTTTTGACCAATCCATTAAATGAGAAACAATTCATGATGGACTACCACGTGCTTACGATCACTCGAAAACACGTGTTATTTACTGAAATACCACACATTTTTTTCATGCATTGCGGGATAATTAATTTCGCTTAATTTTTCATTTTTTATAGTCCGTGATATAAAGTATTCGTCCCATGCTCAGATTAAAGAAAGGTTATGTCTATGCGATGAAACGAGTGTTTGAATTACCCGAAATATAGCCATTAATATGATTAATGATTACACGAAGATTTCAGATATTTGTCCACAAGACAGCAACGAAACCACAGTGAAAAACACAACTACCCATAAGAGAAACTTTCTTTGAGATAGTTAAAAAAAATAAGGGATCCTTGAATTTTATCTCTTAAAGTAGCACATGAAGGTATATTTTTTATTACATTATTTTTTGGAAATTTAACGTATTTGAAACCCTTAATGTGTCTTAAAGGAATTGTTCAAACCTGAAAAATAATAGTCCTTTATGTTACAGCTGTAGTTCCTCAAAAATTTGTAATTTTCGAATTTGTTATTATCCCCCAAAAAATTAAATAATTGAATGACTAAAAACAAAAACAAAAACAAAAAAAAATAGATAAGTGTAAAAATCTCATACGGAAAGTTTTAACGTGTTATTGTAGGTCTCCTTGCCTATGGTGGATAACATTAGTTTGCAGACTATACTAGCTAGTATTAAACACACTCAAACTCTAGTTATTTTTGCAGATATTTATTTCACACATTAAAATAAACTAAATGGAAAATACCTGTTCTCTGATCTGCTAATAATGCTATGGTAATGATTGCTGCTCCAACCAGACATAATAACAATGTACCAAGTCCAATAACACATAAAGTGTTCCGAACTTTGTGATCATGCGTTCCGCTTTTTTCATCGATAGTAATACTACCTTCGTCGACTATTCCAGGAACGAAAGGATCATTTTTTCGAGTGTTGGCCAATGGTAATGTAATCTAAAAAAAATAGTCATAAGAAGAGATAAATGATATTGACTAGTCCATTGGCAAGTTTAATAAAGTAGTGAAGAGAAAAATGTTTGCTAGACATATGTATTAATTTTGTCAAAAAAGCGCCCTCATTAGTTTTAAGGTTACCTTGAAATCCGGAAGAATAATTACACTTAATCAAACTTTCTGTTTAGGGAAAAGAGAAAATCACTAACCAAACTGTTGCCAGGATACTTTTGTTTTAAGCTTGAACTTGTTATGGCCTCTCTACGATAATAAGGAGCATTATGTTTTATGATACATGCTTCTTTTCGTCTGTATTGTATCATGGTAAACATGTTAAATGTTTGACTTAAAGTAGTTTACGATGATTCTAAAGTCAAATCAAAATGAAACTTAGTATGCGTTTATTATAGGATTAAACGCCTTTTTAAAGGAACTGATTGGTGTATAAATTCGACCAATTCACTCACAAACAAATAAAAGTGCGAAGAGGACTTTTATGATATGTTTGTGAGTGACTTTTATGATATGTTTGTGAGTGACTTGGTCCAGTTTATACCCTTATAAATTCCTTTAAAAATGCGTTTAATCCTTATAATTCTATAAAATTGGAGAGAAGAAATTTAAGTTCACCACTCATAATCTCTATCACACGTAAATTGTATATTTGCGTCACTGAATTGGCAAAAAAAAAGTACTCCATGAAATTTGCTATCTGATAAAAAATAAACTACAAAAAATATCTTATTATCATTAAAATAAATGTTTTGTGTATATTACTTGATTTAACGATGAACTCGAAGTGAAAATAAATATTTTGAACGTCTCCTCCATCTTGTTTAAATTGGTTACAAAAAGTAGTTCTGTCAACGTCGTCTATCGAAAAATAAATAACGTCAAGAACCACTACCGGAAGCCCTCTCGACCAATCATATAAACGTATTCCCTCATATGCAAATCATACAAGGATTATAATGAAGTAATATATATAAATGCAAAATTAGAGTTTTGACCCAGATTTCATGGTTGACAGAACATGAATGTGGTGCGAGCGACGCGTGCTGTCCTATGTACGTATGGTCATTCTACACTATTTATTTACGTGGTCTTACAAACTTATATTTCATTAGCATGACATGCCTTCCCTCAACCCTTTGGGCCAAACTAGAATGCTTGGAAAAGCAAATATTGTCTTATTTATTTCCGACTTTAAAGATAATTATATTTCTATTGAAGTAAAGTAAACTTTTCTCTTCAGGTACTCTGATCCATTGTGTTCAGATATTGTTTTATAAGGAAGTAACTCGTACATGAAAGTTGCCATATTCAAAATAGCTAAAGTAAAATTTAAAAAAAAAAATAAGCGAAGAAAATGATGATAAATTAAAGCCAACAGAGTTTACTAGAAGCGAGACCGGGTACGTCGACAGAGTAAGCTTCCCCTGCTACAAATGTATGCATACATCACCAACCGTGCATGCAAATACACTCTCAATCAAAATTTCAAAATCGGATATCATCCATGTCAAACCAGTTGTTGGCATGACACGGGTTATGTTCTTCTCATATATGTTATGATGGTATGATACTAAACCCCTAACGGGAAGGATTGTGCCTGATATTCATATGATGAAGACATAATCTTTCAATCAGTTTAATTGAAGTCTGGAGCTGGCATGTCAGTTAACTGCTAGTAGTCTGTTGTTATTTATGTATTATTGTCATTTTGTTTATTTTCTTTGGTTACATCTTCTGACATCAGACTCGGACTTCTCTTGAACTGAATTTTAATGTGCGTATTGTTATGCGTTTACTTTTCTACATTGGCTAGAGGTATAGGGGGAGGGTTGAGATCTCATAAACATGTTTAACCCCGCCGTATTTTTGCGCCTGTCCCAAGTCAGGAGCCTCTAGCCTTTGTTAGTCTTGTATTATTTTTAATTTTAGTTTCTTGTGTACAATTTGGAGTTTAGTATGGCGTTCATTATCACTGAACTAGTATATATATTTGTTTAGGGGCCAGCTGAAGGACGCCTCCGGGTGCGGGATTTCTCGCTGCATTGAAGACCTGTTGGTGGCCTTCTGCTGTTGTCTGTTCTGTGGTCGGGTTGTTGTCTCTTTGACACATTCCCCATTTCCATTCTCAATTTTAAATTCTATATAAATTCTATAATTGTAAATATTGTATGCAATTTAATGCATTCTGAATGTTAGGACATAATGGCAACGTTACACAATGATAATAAAACGTTTATCTTAATTTTGGTATGTAATTTCATATTTTATAGCTATCTAAGGATAGATACATATATATATCAACCCCTGACACTTAAATACTAGCATAGCTGACAGGTGTAATTTGCTTTCATCTTTATGTATGAATGCACTTAATGAATATTATTGCAATGTCGCAAAATTGTTAAATATTAAATTTAATACTTTATCTAATCATATACAACGTTAAACTCTTTTCATATATATATACATCACAGTTTTCATGTTACATTAAAGAAAATAACGAACATAACAGTATTTTTTTTATCGCACTTCTACTTACTTAGACTTAAAATTGTGTTATATATGCACATGCATCTTTTGATAAAAACTTAATTTAAAATACATATAAAACTAGACAAAGTGATGCCACCGCACTCCACTCTGAAGTAACTGTATTATAACAAAGTCGATGAAGAAATTTCTTTGAGATATGATTGTGTCTGGGAGACACAAATGATGCCCCCGCAGATGCAAAGTGTTGTTTTAAAATACACAAAGTTGAGCATGGGAGCATAATAGGTCTATGGTTCACTGAAGGGGGAGTTATCCGGAAACGCTATGCACCTCTTACGCAAGTATTTACTCCAAAAATGACAAAGTTTAACTATCTCCCAAAAGAGCAAATATTAATAAAAATCAAAACCCTGACCATATGCGCACCTTGAATATATGTGCACACAGCCAGCAAAGTGAAAACTTCCTTGCATTCAAACTGTTGGAGGAGTTATCTGGAATAACTATATATCCATAATGGGACGGACGGACGGAAGGACGGAGGACGGACAGGGGTAAAACAATATGCCCCCCAACTTTCAGTTGCGGGGGGGCATAAAAAAACATACCGAGAAAAGTATTTTGAAAACGTTAATGGTAAAAAAATAGTGTTTGTACTACCACTGGAAATTGCTCGGTGCTGTTGTTGATATACTACCAGCCTTCATATATATATATATAAGTCTAAATTGAAAACAACGTTCAAACCTATGATTGCGTTGGATAAAAACCGCAATTTTTATACGTGTGCATGCAAAACAAATTTCTCGTTAGAGGGGTCTAAATACAGCACAAACAACATTTTCAAAAAGACCAAAAAAGTGAAAAAGTATATTTTAACAAAACGCATTTGACTAACAGGTCGAACAACAAATGTTCTTAAACCCTGCTGACTGCCATTGGCGATTGCCAAATAAACGGATCACCGATGTAATAAATGGATCTTAATTTTAAATTTAATACTAAACAGAAAACAATAAATTTGCGGAAAAGATGATATACCGCAAACAAAAGGTGCAAAGGTTTTTTGTACACCATATCCGGATTTCGACAATTAATGTCTCTTCAGTGATTTTAGGAATCGAAACGGTATTTGGAAGGCCATATAATTTACCTCAATTTAGGATAGACTCTTGAATTTTGAAGAGTCGAAATAGGATGAACGGATCATATAAACCTGAAGCAAATATAATACAAGCCCAAACGAAAAAATATAAATAAGTCTAAATTGAAAACAACGTTCAAACCTATGATTGCGTTGGATAAAAACCGCAATTTTTATACGTGTGCATGCAAAACAAATTTCTTGGTAGAGGGGTCTTAATACAGTACAAACAACATTTTCCAAAAGACAAGAAAAGTGAAAAAGTATATTTTAACAAAACGCATTTGACTAGCAGGTCGAACAACCGTTACGGATGTTCTTAAACCCTGCTGACTGCCATGGCGATTGCCAAATAAACGGATCACCAGATGTAACAAAATGGATCATAGTTATTAATTTAATACCAAACAGAAAACAATATATATATATTGATTGATTCTACCACTGCATCGATCGAGTGTGAAACGATATATCTCCCCTCGAGACGGTTAAATTTTCAAATTTAATACGCGAGGCTTGCCGAACGTTTTAAATATTTAAAGTTCAACTGTCGAGAGTGGAGAAATATCGTATTGCACGAGATTTGGTGATGGAATCTGGTTTTCTAGTGATTTTTTTACGATTTGCAGACACACTTAATCATCCTTTGCCATTGATTTTCAAAATGATGTGTTCTTTCTATGTGAATGAACTAAATGTAAAGCCAGTAAGAGCTATGCATAAAAATCTTCGGCAAACGAGTTTTGGGCAAGTTTTGTTTTTATGCTCTCAATCCTTTTTTTTTAATACGTTTTCCTGTGCAAAATTTCGGTTTCAAGTGTAAAGAGAGTACCTTATGAAAGTTAATTCAGTATAAAAAAAACATTTCTGAGCGCACGGAAATCGTATACTTGTTCAGCCCGTTGATGTTTTATTCTATTAATGACTTCTGAAGAGCAAAAGAATGGGATCAAATTTGTTTAATTGTTTTTTAAACTTATTTGATGTATTGACGTTGGCCCGCACTATTGTACTGTTTGGTTTCGTAATCGAAAAGAAAATAGCTAAATAACAGAAATTAACTTAAAACAGATCCTAATTTGATACGGTTTACTGGTATGTCGCAACAAAGATCTAGATCTGTCTGAGATAGAGAAGAAATTTATGCACTCATGTGTATTTTAAACACAATAGAAAATTGAAAAATGTTGTCAAGAATGTTTTTTGTGTTAGTTGACTCTCTTTGTTATATTTACAGTTCTATTTGAATCATTGAAAAATACGATGTATAATATTTACATCGTGCATAATTCATAATTAATCGAACTTGTATTTCTATTTTTGTTTCTTTAGAGTTAAACAAATCTATTGACTATAACACCATTTATATCTTGATTTAAAGTTTTTTTTTAAACAATTCGTGGTATATAATGACCAAAATCTTTTGTCACCATTCTGAGAAAAGGATAATATTGGAAACTACTGAACTAAATCTATAAATAAAGCATGACAAATAATCATATTATGTAATGGAAAGAAATTTAATGTTGGTTTTTTAACTAATATAACTTTTTACAAAGAAATACATGTTAACCCATTTGCACAAAACTCGACCATATAAAAACGGTTTACACTATAACAAGGAGGAAAAATACACATAGTATCACCTTTATTATAATGATAAGTATTTCTTACCTTTGGCCACTTTTTCTTTATATATTCGTCTGTAAATTGTCGGTCGAACATCATGTCCGTCCACGTAGGAATCTCTTTATCATCTTGAAAACTAGCGTTTGAATGTCCATCATAATCAGTATTTCTTCTCGTATCTGATACTTTCCGAGACTAAGAAAAAAATGTTGAATGATAATGATCTGGCTGTTTGGATTCATCCTCTCCTTCTAACATTGTCTCTAAAGTATTTCCTGTATATTTATTTGGTTTAATTTTTTTACTAGATTGACGTTGGTTGTCTAGGCCGGAATTTTCTGGAAAAGGAGTCGCCACATCTTTGTCGGGTGTTGTTTCTCTAAAAGATCCAATGTTCCGACTATATAGGCCACTATCTCTAGTATTGTCAAACGTCGAACTTCTTGTTATATCGTCATTTTCTTTATAATCCATACCATGCTGTTGGGATTCAATATTCCTAGAATATGTTCCACTCTCTGGCGTTCTATTTCCTTCTTCAAATGATTGGTCCCAATTTTGCCTGTGAAAATTGTCAGTAGAACCTAACGTTTCTTTTGAATAATCTTCTATTGGTTGTTTAATTGATCCAATTCGACTGGCATAAAGTCCACTCTCACGTGCGGTTTCCGAAATGCCTTCAGTGTTCCTCAAATCATTTGGGTTATCCCCTCTCTGTGAAAAATTGAAAGGTGTTCCATTAACACTGTCATAAACTCCGGAACGACCTAAGTCTGCAGAAAAGTACGAAGAAGGATTGTCTCCGTGCTGTGATCGTCCTGCCATATTCAAACAAATTTACACTTGTCACAAACTAAAATCAAAATTTCGTTAAATATATGTTCCAGCTCAATACATAGTATAATGTACCTGCTTCTAGCAGTGACGTTGAGGCATTGAATTATGTAATTGGATTTTTTTTATATATATTAAAATAACTGAAGATTACTACCGGGTTTAATTTTGTGATAAATCATTCATCTATTCAAACACAAACACAAACAACAATTGAAGCCAAGAGAATAATCTGAAACTACAATAAATTTAAATGCAACTTATAATTATGTTCAACCGAACGTCAATAGAAATTTAGGCCTCATAGATTGTTTTAAATAGTTTAAAGGTACAGAATATGTAATTTAAAAAAAAAACGACTGTCTTTTGCCAACGCAATATTTGAAACTAACTACTTAATTTTAAAATATATTCTGCACTTTTTTTTTTTACAAATCTGGATTATAATTCATTTTGCTCGTGTACTTAATTCCCTAATAATTTTGCAGTGATCTAATTTAGGATTTTCCACTTCCTAGTCTATATGTTTATAAAGACTCGCTATAGTTATTGGTTAATCAACTGTAATGTGCTGTTATACTCAGTTTTTTAATTTGAACAACAAATTTAGTTAAGTCTTTAAAATTAATAAGTTTATTAGCACTATCGTTAAGCAAACAACAATCAATCAATCAATCTTTTCTGTGGTCAGTTTATTTCTTTCCAGGTATTTTCTTATTGAGATTCGATGGGCCAAATATTGAAGGTAAACGTTAGGCCCGACTTTCCGTATAAAAAAAAAATCTTATTTTTGCTAAAAATTGTTAACTTAGTATTTATAATACTTTATGATTAACAAGTTGTTCACTGAATATGTCATGAAATAGAAGTTTCTTGATAATATAAGTTTCAAATGGAACAAATATTCTGTAATACTATTTCCTCTGGAACAAATATAATTACAGTATTTGTTCCTAATTCGGAATAAAGATTATAGAATATGTGTTACAGATATTACGGCATATGATTGTTTATAACAAAGTTTCCAGTGGAATTTCCGTTAGGCGGAACAAAATATATGTTTACAAATAGACAACTGAGATAAGGTTACTTAAGAATAAAAAACATGGAAAATTAGAAAGAAGCAATTTACATCTTTCTGATATCATCTAAAGGCAAAGTTTACCGGGCATCAAAACTCACAAAGTTTAGGAAACTACATCTAGTAACGCCAGAAGCAATTAAATTAGCAAACCGCTTTTTATTTTATCAAGTTTTTTTGTTGTTAGTTGGTTTCGTTTTTTGTTTTTTGTTTTGCTTTTTGTTGGTGTTTTTGTTTATTTCGCTCTCTTTTTTTTTTGTTTGGGGTGAGGGTGGGGGTGGGGGGAAGGGGGGAAGTATCCTTTTCATAATGCTAATAACAACACGAATTTAATCTTGTGACCATATTAAAATCATGAAACTATTGCTGGAATTTAATAATGAACATTACTAGTTGACCATGCATCTTTTAGAACTAAAAAACGGGATTTTCTCGCTGTGTTGAAGACCCATTGGTGGCCTTGGGGTTGTTTTCTGCTCTTTGGTCGGGTTGTTGTCTCTCTGACGCATTCCCCGTTTCTATTCTCAATTTTATTTCAAAATCAAATAAGATATTTTTTTTCTGCTATTTCGTTTAGAAATTCAAGTGTAGTAAAACAGGATATGCACTTTCTTTCATTGTCCTGATACATTTTATACTATTTTTAAAAAGTTGGTAACAAAGCATTCAATATATGTTTTTTACTAATATTTCATTTCAATTGAAAATGTACGGAAACACGATATATTGCTCCATCCTTGTGTCATGGGCAAGTCAATATTACTTTGAAAGGAATACTGGTAGCATTTTCCTAATTATAGAAAAATATGCACAAAGAAGTATCCTGGATCTTAAGTTTTGAATTTTCTGAAAAACCTATCTTTAAAAGAGAAAGTTAATAACAAGGGGACAATGAAAAACCAAAAGTCGAATAAAAACACAAAACACAATGAGTTAACAAAATGATGAAAAGACAAACACTGTCCCATGTTAGGGGAAGGGTTGAGCGCTCACAAACATGTTTAACCCCGCCACATTCTTTATGTGCGTGTCCCAAGCCAGGAGCCTGTAGTTCAGTGATTGTCGTTGGTTCATGTCTGTCATATATAGATATAAGAAGATGTGGTATGAGTGCCAATGAGACAACTCTCCATCCAAGTCAAAATTTATAAAAGTAAACCATTATAGGTCAAAGTACGGTCTTCAACACGGAGCCTTGGCTCACACCGAACAGTAAGCTATAAAGGGCCCCAAAAATTACTTGTGTAAAACCATTCAAACGGGAAAACCAACGGTCTAATCTATAATAAAAACGAGAAACGATATGTTTGTCGTAAATTGTTTTGTTATAAATTAGGCCGTTAGTTTTCTCAATTGAATTGTTTCATATTTTTCATGTCGGGGCCTTCTATAGCCTACTATACGGTATGAGTTTTCTCATTGTTGAAGGCCGTACGGTTGCCTATAATTTCTTACATCAACTTTATTTGAACTTTGGTGGATAGTTGTCTCATTGGCATTCATATCTCATCTCAAGTCTAAAATACACTACACAAAAAACACAAATACCAACAGTAGTTTTGTGATTTTCGTTGTCATTTTACATAATGAAACTAACACTTTATAAATTTCACCGTCCGAAACGTTTTACTGGATTTCCCTTACCAGGAAAGTTAAAGTCCAAACATTGGAAAGCCAAGGATTTTTAAAAATAATGAAAATGTGAGGAGCCAATAACCAACATGGACATAAAATGATTGTCCGAACTTATCTAAGATCAATTTTGCCTGAGGGAATTGTTCTATAATTTGTTCTACATAAAGTTTCATGAGAAAAAAAAAGGAATCTTTTATTTAGAGGAACAAACTTGTAAAATTCCAATGCATTTAGTTTGAACATACACGTGCAATGTATGTAGTCACAAATATAACAGCTGATTGTCGTTTCAATTTTTTCTTTTAGTCTACACTATTTGTCATAATTTATTTTTAGAAATTAAGAATCATAAACAAATAAACTGGACATACCAAAGAAAGAATAGAATTAAAATGCATTTGTAATACAACAGAAGTGTACTTTCTAGCTTACCTAGCCTTATGTACATGCCAGGTCTTATTATCACTTTCAACTATTAGACATCTTCTAAAAAACTATATCTTACATTTAATGAAATCTATTAATGATACTGGCATGATCCTTACCTAATTTACAATCCCAAGTAAGAAATGACCACCACAAGGGACATAAATAGAACTATACGAGAAGAACATGAATACAGGTTCTATAAACCATCTTGCATAAAATTATTAAAATCACATCATGCAGAAATGCATCTACTAATTTGGAATTTTTGTTTTTATCCAGAAGCAAAGATGTGGAACATATCTTAACAGAATCATTTGGTAATCCATACAACATGTACAAATAGAGTCTCCTCCATGACAGTATTGAACATAAAAAAACAAATATTGAATATATGAAACGGCTAATATTTGTGTTGCGTCGACGAAGTTGAAAAGCGAGACGAAGGCGTGCTGTTTCTGGCGACGGCTGCATCAGCACGGTATTAGTCTGTGATTAGGTCACTTTAAGGGGAATGGTATTTTGTATGCAGATGTATTAGCATTAGCACGTCTCATTTCCATGGAGATTATTTGGCCCCGCCTCTCCAATTATGGTCAATTGAATTTGAATGTTTTGCATAGTTTACATGTTAAGTAGCTGTCTGCCTAAGAATCATGCAAACAGTGGCATACTGATGATCTCAGATTTTGATAAAAATTTGCATAACACTTCATATTGATGGTCTAAATTAGCATTCAAAATGAAACTTTCATCAGTCTTTGGTTGCTAGGCAAAATGAAGCTATTTAGTTTTCATAGCAACTTGGTTTGATTTTTTGGGCAAAATCAGAAAAATCACCAATTTTTAAGTGAGATTAGAAAAAAAAATTCATGCTTTAAGTAAAAATGTAATTTATTACATGAAAGATACATATAAGCATACTACATTAGGCATATATCATAGACAGATATTCTCAAACAATAATTTGACTGCTAGCCAAGCATTACATAGTTTTGATTCTAAGAATTTATTGACAATTTCGAAATTTTACAACATATTCATTGGTCCTTTTCTCAAGTTATCTGAAAGATCATTTAATATCATGCATATGTCAACAACTATTGGTACTTTGACTTCATAAAAGTAATTCAAATGAGTCGGAAACATACAGCGTTTCCGTTGCTAGGCAACCATAAGATGATCCATTTTTCAGGTTGGTGGAAACAGAACCATTCAAAACATACATTTATTACATACTCAAATGGAAAATATGTCTTAATATCTTATCAATTCACCTTTTCATATTCACTATGTAATTTTAATGAGTAAATAAATTATTTAAAATTTCCATAAAGTCACCATGGTAACAAAGTTTTCCATAGCAACATAACAAAAAAAATGGTTTTCTTTTAGACATTTTTCCGACCAAAAAAACAACCGTTTAAATAATTTTTGGCACATGATTTTACTTATTAAGCCTATTGACAATCTGTTTTTCATGTGCATTGTATTAACTTATTGTTTGCAATATCAGATGACCCCTCTTTATTTGGAACAATTGCCATAATTTATCAACATTTAAATTTTTTGTATTTAATTTTTCCTTTCTAAAACCCCTATTCTTCCGTTCACATTTTTTTTAATGGAATATAAAAAGTGTCCACACTGAAAAGGGCATTGACCTTTCATTTAAAAGGCAATATTACCAAGAATTTTCTTTAAAAAAAGGGGGTTATTTTGCCAATAATTTTGATTTGTTTTTGATTTTGATATTTTTTCATAATATACTTGAAGTCTCTTAAAATAAGAATCAAATCATGGGCAGAAGTAAATTTCTACAAAGCCTAGAAAAATGCATACTATTTATATGTATAATTAAATCTATTTTTTTTTTATTTACTTGAAACCAAAACAAATTTCAGTTTTAACTTTGCAAATTTTGGGATCTGCACATTAAAATATCAATAACAAAAATATTTTCTGTACTTTATTTACTTATACATGCAGTCATAATAATTAATTCTCTATAAACAAGAACTGAATTTACAAGGACATTGTATAGACTGTAAAAAGTCATCGCTAGCTCTGACCACACTTGTTGCCA